ATCCAATCATTTACAAGGAAGAACAATGTTTCGCTTCAGACTGTGGGACAAGCAGTCTTTGCTCTCGTGACTGCATCTTTTACCCGCTCTCTCGATGTTACGTTTGGCTCAGTGCTTTCCGGTCGTGACGACGAGGAAACATCCCAGCTTTTGTTTCCGACTATGAACACAGTGGCTATACGAACCATTCTTCACGGAACAAGTGTTGAATTGTTACGTTACGTTCAAGACAACTTTGTGAATATCAAACATTGGCAACACTACCCACTTCGAAAAGCTATATCGCAGGCTAGGGTGGAGGGGAGATTGTTTGAAAGCCTTTTCATCTATCAAAAGAGTTTGGAACAAGAGCAGGATGAGGGCGAGAGGCTGTACACCAGTGTTGAGGGCCATAGCGATGTTGAGTATCCGGTGTGTGTCGAGATGGAGGTGGTGAACGACACTTTGGTGTGGCGTTGCGCGGTCAAAGATGGTGTTTTTGATTCGGAAAGAACAAAGCAGTTGCTGAAGAGGATGGACGATGTGCTGAGACACTTGATGGAACGAGCAGAGGCACCGGTGATTGAGATGACCACAGAAGGAACGTCAGTCTGCGGTCTGCCAGCTTTCGAAGAAGCTGGGATTCATACTGAAAGCGTTCATGTGGCATCTGGGAAAGACGGCGGACAAGATGCACAAAGCACAGAAACAGCTAATAGGATCCGGAAGATACTGGCTGCAGTTTCCAAGACGCCTGAGGAAGAGATGACTAACGACATGACCATATTCCATATGGGACTGGACTCGATCAGCGCAATCAAAGTCTCGTCACTTCTTCGCAAACAGGGGATTGTCCTCAGCGTTGGAGAAATGCTGCAAGCTGGTTCAATGGAGAACATGGCCAAGCTTGTCGATGCCCGTGCTACGGAACCATCAACACCCAAAGACGACACGAACAATTTAACGAGTCTTGATGGAATACTGAAAGACTTGGACAAGACGGAAATTTTCAAGCGAGCCGGCGTTGACGCAGACAATGTCGTCCAGGTTTTGCCAGTCGCTGCTGGTCAGCTTTACATGCTGTCCATGTGGCTCAATACTAACGGCAGCAATTTCTACCCAGAATTCAGCTACGCGCTCGAGGGGGATGTGGTGTTTGAAGATCTGCAAAAAGCATGGCAGGCTTTGGTGACGACGAATCCAATACTCAGGACATGCTTCGTCTCAGTTGGCGATCACCGGGTATCCTACATTCAGCTTGTGTTGAGGGATGTTGATAGCGCTATCACAGATGTCACTGGATGCGGAGATGATGAGATACGCAACCACGTTCAACACGCTACAACTCACCAGCCATGGGCAAGAATGCTGGTTTCCCGGAACTCCTGCGGCTGGAATCTGCAACTCAAAATACACCACGCACTCTACGACGGCATCAGTCTACCATTACTCATACAACAACTCAAAGATCTCTGCGACGGCAGTGTCTCTGCTGTTTCTCAAGACAGTATCCTAGCCGACTTCATATCCAGCACCTCCTCGCTCTCATCTTCCCTGCAGCGCCGCCAATTTTGGGAAACCCATCTATCCAATACAAACCCAAAACAACTGAAGCAGCCCTCCCACACACCCACCACCCGCCTAGAAATCTTCCACCCATCCCTGACCCCCATGCAAACACTCGACACCACGGCCCGCCACCACGGCATCTCCACACATGCCCTCTTCCTCGCCGTATACGCAAAACTCCACTCCCGCCTCTCCCACGGCACCACCACCGACGATATAGTCCTAGGCATCTACCTCGCCAACCGCTCTCTATCATGCACACCCGACCTCCCAAATGCCGCAATCCCAACACTCAATCTCGTCCCCTTGCACATTTCAAGCCCGCAATCCCGCAGTGTAGTGCAGTCAGCGAAGGAAATCCAAACGCACCTGCGTGATCTTAACGATACTGGCGTTGCGACTACGAGTCTTGTGGAGATAGAGGAGTGGACTGGTGTGAAGATTGATGTTTTTGTCAATTTTCTCGTGGAGCTGGATACGCCTCCTCCTCCTCCTTCTTCTTCTTCTTCTTCCTCAACACAGGGGGATCATCGAGGTGTCAAGATTCAACCTGCGGAGCGAGAAGAATATCGTACACGATTCTCGCGTATATCCCCCATCGTTCAACCTGATTTGGACATTGAAGAATTAAGAAATGAACGTGTGAATGGAATTTATTTGGTATGTCTATTTCCCCCCAATCTCGTATTCTTCATAAAAGGACTTTTTTTGCTAATATGGGCCATATAGCACACCATTGATATCGAAGCCACGGTGCGAGAGGGATACTTGGATGTGGGTGTTTTTGCGCCGGGGGATATGATTAGTTTGGAGCAAGGAGAGGAGTTTGTGGAAGGGTTGAAGAGGGAAGTTGAGGAGTTATTGTCATAGATTTCTTATTTCTGAGTTTCTCTTGTTTCGTTTCGTTTGTTAGTTTTATTTGGGGATTGCATAATTGGAGTTTTGGGATGGGGGATGAGGCGTATTGGTTTGTTTGATTTCATGTACGTTTTTTTTTTCGTTCTTGTTTTGAGAGAAATAATGCACATATTTTCATAGGAATCTGAATGTCACGCATGAATTTCGTGAATGATTATGCGTGCTATTACTAACCCAACGCCTCGCTACCATCATCATGCTCATTGCTTAATTATACAAATATCCCCGGGTATACTTGGTCGAATACAAAACAAATTAAACCGATTAGACCACTTCAATGATATGAAACCCCCCTCACTCGTTCAATTGTTCCACATCCAACTCTAAACCATATGCTCACCCCTCGCACCATGACCATGGCCAACACTGGCGCCATGACCAACAGGCTTCCTGTTCACGTGGGAACCAGCGGGACCCTCAGCCTGAGGCATCATAGTACCCCTAGGACCATCAGCAGCGTCAAAGGGCGCACCACCCCAGCTGCCTGCATCATGGGTGCCCCAACCGGCCTTGCGAGTGAAGACGGCATCGTGGAAGCCGTCAAAGGAGCTGGGACCAGCACCGTAGACAAAGGGGGCGTGGCGCATGAGGGGGATGTGGTTGAAGCGGAAGTCCCAGATGGAGGCGTAGGTCATGCGGTAGGCGCTGAAGGCCATCATGGTGCCGATTACGGCTCCGGCGAGGACGTCGTACTGTCATGTCATGTTAGTTTCGAGTATATGGGACTTGTACATTTAATGGAAAAACTTACCCAGTTGTGGTATTCGTCAATAGTAAGGGCACCACCGATGAGACAAGCACCGAGGATGGGAGCGTAGAGTGCAACCAACTTCCACATTGCAGGGTGGTGGTTGGAGAAGACCTTGAGCTTTGCGTTGAGGTAGAGGTAGAGAAAGACGAAACCGGCAAAGGCAGCGGTTGTGTGACCCGATGGCATGGACTCGAGGGAATCGTTGATTTCGTTCATATCACCCGTGCAGATGCTCTTGTCAAACATGATTTGACGGTATCCATTGGCGACGTTGCCGTTGCCGCTGCCAGACTCGATGCCGTTGTCGGCTGCGCCAACGCTCGAGCGAAGGTTTTCAGGGATAACGGGCTTGCAGACGGCGAGGAAGTGAGGGCGGAGACCGCCAATGAGCCATTTGATGAAGACCTGGAAGACTGCGGCGGTAATGAGAGAGTATAGAAGGCCGATAGTGGCATTGTTGACATCCCAGAAGCTGCGGGCGCGAATCTGCACGATCAAAAAGACGGCAAAGGGAATGAAAAAGGCCATGAGGGCGGCGGCCCAGATGGGGATGATTTCGTTGCGCAGGGGGTAGGCAAACTCTGGGTAGACAATCTCGCCATCCTGGAAGACGACTGTAGTGTGTTAGATGGTGATGGTTTATGTGCTGGACGGGATACGTACTGGGAAAGCTGCGGCTAGGGGCTGGGTCGGCCATGTAGACACCCAGACCAATGGCACCCATGGCGGCCATGGTCAGGATGTCGAGCCAAGTAGCCTTGAGCCATTGTCCAAAGCTTGGCCTGGAGTTGTACGACGATGAGTGAGACTTGGAGTGGCGTCTTGGTCTCTTTTCCCTGTGCGAGCCAGTCGCAGTGGTTGTGTCGGCAGCGACAGGCGTCGTGTTTCGCTTGTTGAACAGGCCCATGGTGGTGTTGGTTGTGGGTGTCTGGCGAGGCAAGTCTCCCGAGGGGTGAATGACGTATGGGCACTCGAACCGCCTGATTGTACAGGCGAGTACAAGGAAAGAAGAAGAGAGAGGGTTGGTGAGTAGCAAATTCACAAGCAGAGGCTCATTGCTTATATTTGCACTCTCTTACTTTCCCGCCTAAAGGGTCTCGAGCAAAAGTCGTCACTCAGCATCATCTTTGTCGCACAGGCATACCACCAGGCCGGTTCGCAGCGACAAAACCTGCTTTCTGACCAACCTTGTTACAGTCCAGGCGTATCCAAAGCGCAGACAGCGAACGAAATAATAGTCGATCTTAACCCGACCAAGCAAGTTGGTAAAAGCTTGGTTTGCAGAGTAGAAGCTTGGCAAGCCCGTTTGTGGCTCTTGTGTGGCTGGTGAGGCGCGCGATGATGGCATGTGTGGCTCCTCAGTGCCGTGTAGCCACTAGAACATGTATCGCTTTGGTTGCTTTGGCCATGCGCTGACGCTACGGCGGGCCCAATGTGCCGAATGCTGGGGATTGATGAAGAGAGAGTTTGCATGTCCGCGGTGTGATGATGCAAGGTGTAGAGAGCGTGACGTCACAGGGTACCAGATTTGACCCAGCTGTGAATGAACGTCCATGGTCACGAGATACGTTTTCATGCAAGTCAATCTCTTCTTTTGGCTGAAATGCCCCGATGCATCTTTACAATCAGTTCTGCATGCTTTACATTCCGCTAAGAAAAATGGATATTCAACAGCCTAACAAACAGTACACCTTAATTCTAACATGACAACAAAAAAGCATCAATCAATGGGTATCATCTTCCTCCCCTTCCTCCTTTCTCCAGCTACGTCTACTCCAACCGTCTAAGAGTGGATATGCACCTCAGTGCTGCCACTGCGATGCCATGTTGCGAGCAAGACACCGCAGCGGCCACACTTGTGCTGGACGTCCTTTGTCGAGCTCATGACGTAGGGAATGCAGCCCAAGCAGCACAAGCAGCAGAGACCAAAGGCCCAGGCATGTGTTGTGTTACCCGTCTCAAACGAGACATTTGTGAGGGAGCGCTGGCCGCATGCAGGGCAGTCTGCGGGCGCGGGGCCGCGCTGAAGATTGGCAATGGGCGTCGCGTTCTGGTACTGTGTGCCGGGCATTTGCTGGGGCGGCATGCCTGGGGCTGAACCGGCGACGCTGGCGTCTGGGTGCTGATATGTCGCTTGTGGGGGTGGCTGCGAGTATTGCTGCGCGTTTGGATCTTGTGCGTAGACGGGCGGCTGTGGCTGGCCTGTGGCTTCAGGCGACTGGGGATACGCTTGCATGGGCACTGGTGTGGCGGTCAGTTAATCGTTCATACATGCATTGCAAACGTGGCACGGTAACACAGCACACCACAGTACAGCACATGTTATCATGCTGCAGTGTAACAAATGCTCCGCATCCAAGCCCACAGGTACAACGCTTCTCAACACTTACCACCTGGCTTCTCCATGGTTTCAGTATGTAGCTTCGACTGCGTGGTGGAAGAGGTATTAGTTGGCGGCAACGACAATTCTCAAAGATGGTGCAGAACGCGTCAAGAGCAATCGAGGGCCAGCGCCCAAGTTTATTAAAGCCCTTCAGGCGCACCGTCGTCGCTTAGACTCCATCATTCACCGCACGGGGGCCTAAAGTTTGGGGGCGCCAGGCGTACTCGTTAGCACAGCCTCGACTCGTGCATTACCATCATTCGCCCATTGCGCGCGTTGGCCCCCATACAGCCCTCCACCCGCCCAATGGGCCATTTCCCCCCACCCTAGTCGTCTAAAAACCGCCGTCGGGTCTGCAGGGTCGAAGCGTCCAAGCCTCAATTATCTTGTGGCTGATGTTCTTTTCGAGACAAGGCAGGTTAATAGCGCAGCAGGGTCTGGCGAGGGCGAACCGCCCCAAGCCTAATTTCCAGATGTCGTTCCATGGCACGAGCATCGGATATAACAAAGGGGGTCAGAGACATTCTCCTGTTGGTTCCGTCCCGGATACCGGCACTCGCAAGCCATTGTAATCTCTGCCTTGTATCGTCACGTTTCTTTGCCTCAACTCCGGGTCGAGCAACCATGGCATTAGACATTATGTACTGCGCAGGGCTGTGCTGCGGCGTGGATGCGATCAACACACGTGTACCTACTTTTTATCTTTAGCGCATTTCCTCCGACTGCATGAAACCGTGTCAACCGTGGGCCGGTTCCTGCAGCCATCTATTCTCCATGGCATAGCGTCTCTGCTAATTAGCGCCCGGCAGCCGCTCGTCAACATGAAGCCGGTGAGCTGACGGTCCGGCTCCGTGTCACTGGTTGTGTGTGCTGCTCAGTAGCGTGTATCCATGTCGTCCAGGTCGACGTCGTCCTCTGACTCTTCATCTGCATGTGCATCGCCTTTAGTGTCTTTGGTCGGCTCAGAGTCTGTCCCGTGCAACATCTTGTGCTGCTCTGGGGTCAAGTCAACAATGGTCGGCGCATAGTCGCCCACCTCGTCTTCTGCATCTGCACCATTGACTTCCAATTCCACACGCTCTCCGTCCTCCAACTCCAACATGCCCCGCTTCAGATACGAGCCCTCGGGCTGCCATCCAAACTCCTTCTCCATATACTCCTGCAGGTCGTCTACCTCGTCGACCATATCGGCTTTCCACTTGCCATCAAAGTCTTGAAGACCTTTTCGGAACTGGCCCAGCAGCGGTCGCAAGAATCCCCCGCCAGCGTCATTCATGTCGAATAAATCTCCCTCGGCGTCTGCGCAGTGGCCAAGCTGGATGCGCAGACACTTGAAAAGGTCCAGGAAAAGATGAGAGCGCTCCTTGACTGCTTGCCGACAGGTGAGTAGCAGTCGCAGCAGTCGCTTCCACTGTTCGAGACAAGAGTTGTTGTTGAGCGTCAGGACCATGAGAAAGGCAAACTGCAGCTCGCCCAGAATCTCATTCTCCCGGCCCTGCTCATCTCCTGCCTGGCAGTGCTTGTTGATGAGATCGCCTAGGAACCAGGACCGGTCCTGTGCAGCCTCTGTCCGTTCCCTGCCGGTCGCTCCTTCTCTCCATGTTTTCTTCAGGTCAATTGGCAGGAACCTCAACTCCTTCTCCGGGCGCAACATGCTATTGCTTGATTCCAGGCCCGGTATGTCATCTAGGTCCTGCGAGGCCGACGAGGCCGATGTCAAGTTCCAGTGGTCGGGATTCAGCCCGCATATCCTCGACAGCATTGTAGGCGTGATGTGTGTGGTAAGCTTACTCCAGTCGGTGCTCTCTTCATTCCAGCCATCTTCAGCGCCCGAGTCGCCTTCCTGCACGGTTTGCCGATAGGGCGTCAGGCCATCTTTCCATATGCTGCCGAGGTTGGCCTTGTGCTTGAAAACCTCAGTCTGCGATGTTTCCGCCACCAGGTCCTCGGTGCTTTGATCCCATTTCTTGACAAAAACTTGTGGTGAGCCCACGCCAGGCGTGACATAAAACCATGCGCCGTGTCTCACGGACATGGCGCCATCAATGGCAGCAAAAACAAAGTGCAGGCCATGTGGGACATTTCGGACGCCTCGGAAGCGCGGTGACGATGTAAAGGATAGCAGGTCGATGCCGGCGAGGGCTTTTGGCGGCAGGTCTAACAATAGCACGCAATTATTAATAGTAGACGGATCCATGCTGGGGCGGAAGAGTTCGTCGAACCAGGTGTTTCGCAGGATCTTGAGAAGAGGCTGTTCGCAAAGCTCGACATGAGCCGGGGAGAAATGGGGTATCATAAGTTCTAGGCAGGGTCCAGAAATGGCTTGGGGGAAAAAACACGTGAACGCGCGCGGTACTAGTCCAGTCCAGTCCAGGGTCCAGTCAAATCAAATGTTTGGCAAAGGAGCGTGTGGGATATGGGCGCGACAGGAGAAAATCATAGACAAGAAGAATAAGAACGAGGAATGAGAGAACGAGGACGATTGCGTCCGCATCTACTTAGAGCAGAGTGCCTAGACGCAGACAGGCATGCAAGCAAGTAGCGCTCGAACGACTTGGGGGGTGCAATGCGACCGATGTCTGACCGACACCATACGCCATACGTCATGCCCACCGTATAGAGTTTGGCTGGACCATGTGCTGCCGGCATCTTGCTCACCGTCTTGCTGGTGTTGTGGATGCTCTCCATCGATGCACGCCATCTGCACGCATCGCATGCTATGTACATGTCGACTATGTATGTATGGAGCGGCGGTGTCGGCTCTCTCTCGCTCTTCCTACACACCCCACCCAACCCTCTGCTGATACGAGACATCACGCAGCAGGCTAACAACACCAGCACACACACGCACTGAAACAAGGTGCACACGCGGATTTTGGCTTTGGCAGGTCAATAATACTACGGTACATATTGCATACGCCGTCAGCCTCTCCACTGGCGATCATAGGGTCCAGCCCACTGCACCGTCCCTGCAGCTTGATGCCCCTCTAGGTAGCCACCCGGCCCTTTCTCTCCACCCGCCCATTGCTTCTCGCGGCAACGCACCTATTCCAACACACCCATACCACCCATACCAACATCCACGCCTACACCCGTTGTACAACAAACAGCGCACTCTGTGCCACTGCCCGCCATGGACCGCCGCCGCACCCCAGGCCTGTCGTCGCTCTCCTCGCGCGGCCTGCAAAACCACCACTACACCAATCACGGCGCCACCCTCCGCACCCGCAACGCCGACTCGCTCTCCACCCAGCTCTCCGTCTTCCAATCCCTCCTCCACAACTTCGCAATCACCCATTCCAAAGACATCCGTGCAAACCCCGCCTTCCGCGCTGAATTCGCCCGCATGTGCTCGGCCCTCAACATCGACTTCCTCGCCTCCTCGTACCACAAAGACACTGCAACTAGCACATCAAAGGACGCCAACAGCACCGCCAGCGGCGAAAGCATCTGGACGCAGCTTCTGGGCCCCAACCTCAACGACTTCTACTTCAACCTCGGCGTCCAGATTGTAGAGGAATGCCGCGCCACCCGCGCTGAAAACGGCGGCCTAATCTCCCTGTCGGATCTGCAGGCTCGCCTCTCCAAATCCACCCGCATAGGCGGCAGCATGACCGTTTCCGACGACGACATCAAGCGTGCTGTTGACGCCCTTGCGCCGCTGGGGTCGTGCTTTTCCATTGTCAAAATCGGACACCGCAGTTTGATTCGGAGTGTGCCCAAGGAACTTAATGTCGACCAGAGCACCGTTCTCGAGGCGATCGAGTTGCTGGGTTACGTGACGTTGTCTGTGCTGCAGGTTAATTTGAATTGGGAGAGACCCAGGGCTCATGCCGTTATCGAGGATCTCATGGCGGACAGTCTGGTGTGGGTGGATACCCAAGCGGGCGAAAACGAGTACTGGAGTCCTGCATTCCTAACTATGGGCGGGTCCAAGTCGGATGCAGCTTCTTAGACTGTGTTTTGGGATTGGCACTGGAGATTCAAACTACGGCGTAACTAAGGAACGAATGATACCCGGCGTCATAGCCACTTACTATATACATATGCAAATAGATGGATTCACGATAAACTTTTACACATGAACAAAAAGGTATCATAAACACACATGTCTTGACTTCTATATACACATACAAATACAAACACATATTCTTCACCCTCCCCCCCCATCACCAAAGCACCTCTGTATTACACATCCTGACCTCCTCGCTATCCTTCCACGCCGTGTCTGCATTACTAGACTCAGGAAACACTTTACGGTGCCATCGAAGAGACCACCTGCGCGCACTATGCTCATCCTCAAAGTCCAGCACCCACCGGTTGTACACACGGTTCATCACCTCTTGATGCATCTGCGCCGGCGAGCGGTCCTCTTCCACGCTACCCATCATGCTCTGAATCTCCGGGTCCTCATACGCCATTTCCATCGAAGACGACGACGACGACGACATAGCATTCACAAGCGGAGAATCAGAGTGATCAAAGGTGCCGTATGCCCGAGGCCGGCTCGACGAAACGGACTTGCTCGACATCTTGAGATTGATCATGTCGCGCAGCCGGTGGATCGACGACTGCGCCTCGTTTCGCAGCGGCACCAGGCTTCCCTGCTTGTATGCGTCGGTGCAGATGGCAATGTATATGTCGGATGCAGACGGTTCGTAGCCTTCAATGTGCAGGAGCACCCGCCAGATGCGATTGCCCTTTTCGTCCACACCCGGCGCAATCGGCTGGTACCCGCCCCGCTCAATCAACAACCGTAGAGCAGGGTTGTATGGCTGCATGAGCACATTGAGACTCATCGCATGACCCTTGGGCAGCAGGTTGTATGAAGTTACTGCAGCACCAATGTCTTCGCCGTCCTCGAGAAATCCCTTGGGCGGAGGAATGGCGGATAGGATGCTTGACGGCTGGTAGCGGGCACTGAGCTTGTGCAGTCTCGAAGCATTCTTCTGATATGCCAACGCTGCCTCCGTATTCCTGAACAAAAGATAGTAAAAAGGCAACCGTTCTAGACTCAAAGGGTCTCGGCCAGGAATGGCCTTGTAAAAGTCGCTGTCTCGCCGCCATCCCTCCAGGTGCTTGCCCTTGGGAATGATGCGACGAAAGTCAGCTTCCGTCAACCCAATGCTGCAGTTGGTCAGCTGGAGCACAGCAATTTGCTCCCTATGTTGCTGAAACGGCTTCGTTTCCCGCTTTTCTGCCTTCCGCGCCTCTGGGCGCTTAATGGACTTGGGTAGCTCCAGTCTGGGATATTGATCTCTGCCTTTTTCCGTTGGCCGAGGCGGCGGAGCACTGTTCGCTTCTGGGAAGAGCTCTTCGAGGAGCGATTGTTCACTAACTTCCTCACTGGGTGGTAACGACTTGGATGAATCGTCAAATGATATGTCCTGCTTGGCCTCCGGACCCTCTTCAGCCCTAGCCGCCTCATGGCTGCCATCCTCGCTGTCCACCCTCAACTCTATAGATGATGTCATCGAGCGCGACTGTGTATGGATTTTGCTCATCAGCCTCTGTCCATCATCTGTGTCATCGACAACAGGAGCCTTTACTTTCTTGTCAAGACGAGTTGAGGCTGAGTCGGCTGTCGTGTCGTGCAGCAGATTCCCCTTAGGAAGCATTGACAAGAACTCATTCTCCAAATCCTTCACCGCTCTATTGCCTCTTTCCATATGCCAGGTTGCACATTCTCTCTCAAGCCTCAAAATCCAGCTGAGAGGTGACGTCCGACCAGGTTGCCTCGCTCTTGCTAGCACGTTCCGTGAAGCGCCAACTTCTCCGAGTATTCTCAATAAGCGACGATCTACTTCTTTGTACGCTCGATCGGCTATTGCCTCGGTGTGCTTGCGGAAATTGCTCGCAACTAAAGTGAGTATCGGAGACTCTTGCGTTTCCAGCTCTTTGCCCGTTTTTTGGATGAACTTAGCTGCATTAATGCGACGACGATGGCAGGCTTCCAAGAGGGGAGCAATAGGATCACCAAGCACCTGCGTCTTAGTATATTTGGCAACATCGCTAGCCACTAAAGAGTTGACTTGGCTGAGGGCTTCACTCGAGGACTTGGACAGTTTCGAGGCAAGCCAGTCCATCAGGCTCTGGTATTGGGCACAGCTGTTACTGATCAACCGATCATTATCCCACATGGCAATTCGTTGAGCGGTAAGAAAGCGACGTAGAATGGAGGGAGCTATAGGTGTAATTAGGTCAGAATGAAGCCCTGCAAGAGCCCGAGTGGCTCTAAGACATTCTAGGACAGAGAGTTCATAAGCAACTCGGGCGGCACGCAGAAGACTAATCATCTCACTGGAGTCTATTCTGGAAGAGGGAAGGATACGCCGCCCAGCCTGGGTTTGGAGCGCCGAGTCCAGACTCTGCGTCTTGGATTGCGTTTTTTGTGGTTTCTTCACGGGCGCAGTTCTTGCTACTGCAGATGTAGGCGAAGACGGCGACGACTGTCCGTTCGTAGGTTTTGCTTCTAAGTGGGCTTGCAGTGCCTTGATCTGTTCAGAGAGCTGTTGAATTTGCTGCCGCATGGCTGCAACATCAGCCTGCTGGGCAGTCGAAACATGGCCCTGCCTCCGCTTCGCAGATTTCCTCTCTCTGCGACCTGTTCCCAGATGGTTCCCGGTTGCTGTGAAACGAACAGATCCATGTACAGTATCTTGTTCGTCTTGTTTCGTTGCTCCGTTTGTTTTGTGAAGATGAGTCTCGGAGCGTCCTGGGTCCTTGGCATGAGGAGGAGGCGGTGGTGGTTCCAACTTGGGCTCAGTGGATGTGGAGGGGTTAATGTGAGCCCCAAAGGAAGCAACATGGTACAATGCCTTTTTCCACCAGGGCCTCTCCTCGACTGGACCATCTCCAGGCGAGTCAATTGGGCGGGATGGAGCACTGCCCTCTTTGTTGTCGCCTTTGGCAGTGCGTGTTTGCGGGGTGTCATTGCCGGCGGTCGAGAATTTGGCGCGGGTGGTGGCATGGGTGCCGCGAACCTGCTTCGCGGTCACTGGGAGGTGACATGGCCGCAGATGTCGAGAGAGGCGCGGCGGTGGCATCAATTGCGCGGCTTGGTCACATTGCACAGCTGCGATTCTTGGGCCCGCCGTCGATACTGAAAAGCTGCAGAAGGCATGCGGCGCTAATGGCCCAATCCGGTCTAGTCCACCCGTCGCTTAGTCACTCCATTTCCCTACCACCACAGTCGGTTGCAGCCCAAAAGGGAAATTAGGCGAGGGTTGCATGTTTGACCTGCTCACGGCTTCTGCGGCGAAAAAAAATCCTTATGAGCACATGCAGTAGACGCATCATGCGAGTCACATGCGTACAAGAATCCATCTCTCCTCAGATACGCACTTCTCCATAAATCCCCCCTCATTACGTGCGCACAGGAAAAAGCAACATGAGCCCGGCTGCTACTTATACCCTGCGCCCGCTGGAGCGCAATCCGCCTAGCATTCCTACCAATGCACTCGAGGGCGGTGCTTTTCGCGTCCATCTGTCGGCCAAAGAACTCAAGGCTCTCGGGCTCAGCAATGGCGACTGTGTCCGGCTTAGCACTGCAGCAGGCTTCAGAGGCTACGCCGTTGCATGGCTCGCCTCGCAGACTAACGCCGGGAACAAACCCATTGCCAAGGTGACCGACCTTCTACGGGAGCACTATGACCTCGCGCTCAATGATCCCGTTTTCATTGAAAAGGCCGATTCCTGGAAGCCTCTCAAGTCAATCGAGATTAGCATTTCCGATTCACCAACTCAGACTGCCAAGTTTGCCTCGGGCGAGCAACTTTTATATTGGCTTCGCCATGCATTGGGTAAATATGCAAATGTTCGTCTTGCATCTGCTTCTCTAACTCTTGTGCAGCAGCAGACACGGACATCCTCCTGCCGGGATGCAGTTTTCCAATCCAGCAAAAGAGCTTTAGGCAAAGAGGCCAAAAGGTCCGGGTCACAGTGCAAAGTATTGATCCACTTCCGACCGAGAAACATGCCGTGTACTTTGATGAGACTACTACTCACATCACCACTGTGGGTGATTTCACGCCTGAAAAGTCGCCCCCGAAGCCGTCAGGTGTACTTCAATTAAGGTCTGATGGGATCGGCGGTCTTTCGAACCATATTGCGGTCGTCAATGAAGATCTTTCCTTTCTTACTAACAGCCAACCTCATCTGCACAACCGACACCTTCTTGGGCCTACCGCCTTCCTTTTGCATGGCCCAGAGGGTACTGGAAAGACTCTTTTGCTTGAGAGACTCGCGGAGTGTCCTTGGACTGAAGTCTACAGGATCAATCCCGACACAAATCCCAAAGGCCAAGTCAAGGCCCTCTCCGATATCTTCCAAGATGCTCGTGATAACCAGCCAAGCCTGATACTGATGGACAATTTAGATCGGCTTTTAGACAAGGCCGACTCATTAGTAAATAGGCTTCGGATTGAACTCGCTACTCTAGGAGGAAGCCAAGTCGTCGTCGCAGCAGCAGCGCGCAGCGTGTATGATATCGACTCCAGCCTTCGAACAGCGACTGCTTTTCAGACCGAGCTTGAGTTGCTACCACCAAACGCAAAGCAGAGAGAAGACATTATCCGCCAGATACTGGGGCCTACTTGCAATGTCCCGCACGTTGACCTAAGTGCTCTTGCAGAACGGTCACATGGCTTTGTAGGTCGCGATATTGCCAGTCTTTGCTACCTTGCTAGGAAGCACCATACGAGGCGGATAGTCAAGCTATTGGACGGGAAAGACAAGACCGAGCTTGGCAAGGTAGATGAAGAAACCGACTTTGTCGAGCAGGAGGATTTCGAGGCCGTGATAGAGCAAGTGCGCCCCACAGTGCTAAAGGACAGCATTCTCGAAGTGCCAAAAGTCAGGTGGACGGACATTGCTGGCCTGGATCATGTACGGGCCGTGCTAGAAGCTATTACCGTTCGCCCGTTCAAGGTACGTGAGCATCAATTTCCGCATGTTCGTGATGCACACAGATCCCTGCTCTACCTCATAACTTTATTCGCATCCGAGTAACAAAAGGAGACTGATGACGCCCTTAGTACCCTGACCTCGATGTCAAATTCGGTGGGCCTCAGTCGCGCAAAGGCGTTCTCCTCTACGGCCCACCGGGATGCGCGAAGACCCTGATTGCACAGGCCGTCGCGACCGAAAGCAGGCAGAACTTCCTTGCCGTAAAGGGATCCGAACTCATCAAAATGTACGTGGGTGAGTCTGAACGAGCAATTCGGGATGTTTTTCGAAGAGCACGAGCAGCGAAACCTTGCATCATCTTCTTTGACGAGATTGATTCCATCGGAAAGTCGCGTGAAAAGACACAAGACAGTGGGTTGAACGTTGTGACGACATTACTCAACGAGATGGACGGTATCGAGGCGCTAAAGGACGTGTTCATCATCGGCGCAACCAATAGGCCCGATATTCTCGATTCAGCACTTATTCGGACGGGCCGTTTTGATGCACACATCCACATTGGACTCCCGACAGAAGAAGCACGGAAGCAAATTCTACAAATTCATACCAGATCGAGACCGCTCGCAGCTGACGTTGACTTGGATGTCGTTGCCAAACGAACAGATGGCAGCAGTGGCGCAGATATTAGTGGCCTATGTGCTGTCGCTGTTGAACTGGCAATTACCGACTACACGATGAGTCCGGACAGCGCACCTCAGGTTTACATGCACCACTTTGAGCGGGCACTAGACCAACACGTTCCCCATACAATCGCAGCCGAGGCGGAGCGTTATAGGAACTGGAGGCCCGGCAAGTCGTTATCTGAAGATTAAAGATGTGGTATAGAAACGGGGTTGTGAAGGTAGCAAGACTTTTGCATAGAGGACGTTTTTTGCATGTTGATGCTTCTTGTCCAAGCAACATAAGGTTTTCCGTGCGATCAGAAGCCCAGGCGCACAGAGGCATTAATCTGGCCTGGCGCATTACGACGTTGGGCAGTGGAACAGCGACGGGACGTGCATCTGCCTTCTGCCGCCGCACGACGCAGGGAAGATGTGGGGATGCAGGAGGGAGCATGCTTCCATCCGTCTTCGATACCGCTGTCATGATTCTGTTTGGCATACTTGATTCGGCCAGCCATCAAAATAGCATGTTGCCTGAGACGCCAACGCTGGATGCCTGTTGCAATCATCCGTTGCGATCAGGCGCAGTACCCCGTCGTATGTCGTATGTAGAGTAAACAGCGAGACGTTGTGCAGGCAATTCCGAAACGTTGCGGCAGTGCTGTGGGGCTTCATTTTGGACAGACGATGCTAGTATAGTTGGGGCCGCCACATTGTGCATCGACTATTTTCCATGGACACGAACAAGCGCAGTGCTCTGCTGTAGCGTCGTGCTGATTGCCCGTTGCGTACCACGACATCAGGGGCAAGGCGAGGAGAGCATTCAGCTTGTCGTTTCCGTAAGCACCAGCGCAATGTGCCGCCGCAACGGACCGATAATCTCAATCAGCCACTGTCGTGTTGCTTTGATGCCCTTGGCGGCGCATCACGAAATTGCTCCTCGGCAGAGCATCGTCATGAAACCGGGCTCGTGCTCCTTCCACACCGGTCCCCGCCACGAGACAGCCGCCTATTCCTGCCAGAACCATGGTTGTGATAAAACGCTCGTTAAGATAATTCCGTCGCCTACCAGGGGGGCCCGCTATAGCGAGCATGCCTGTGCAGCCAATCGCAGCAGACGCTCGCATGTTATGCTCACCACCCTGGTTCCACACCTGGTTCTCGACCTTGTGCAATTTCTTTCAGACGCGCCAAAGTGGGTGTAAATGATTGCCGCCGCTATGATGACGGTGTGCAAAGTGTGGAGGCGCCAGGTTCATCCGGTGGTCGCGTGGTGAGCATACTGGTGAGCATCCCAACACCGACCAAACACCTCGATCCTTTGTTCTTTGAACCTCCACCGACTGTGTCGATATCTGTTCCCTTTTTGGCTCTATAGGGCCGTCCATTCCTTTTTCTCCCGTTTTCAAGCCCATCGTGTTGTTCTCCTTCGTCAACCCCCAATTTACCATCTGATACCCTCTAACGGATTTTGAAACCCACCATGCCCGGGATGCTCGCGAGATCCAAGTCTCTGCGGTTCCTAAGAAACAGCCGCAGAGATGTCATTGATCAAGAGAAGGGAAACACAATGCCGGCTCTAAAAGCGTCTCAAACAGATCTTGACAAATACCATGCATCTACGGCGAATTTGCAACTGGAGGGAAATCTCAAGGCTCCAGACGTGGTAATCAGACCGAGCACCTCAGGCGGGCCTGTAGAGCGCCCAGTGATGTCTCGCAGGGAGATCAGTCCTGCGCCATCGTTCCATTCGGAAGACCATGTCCACTCTTTCCAATCGCCTACATCTTCGACAACCGTACTCTATACCTCAGATGTCACAAAAGAGCAGGGGATCATTGGTATCGCTCTTGGATCGCCAACTTGCGCTTCGCACTGGATCCCACCCCCTCAGGCAGTAGACTCGAAGACGAACCCAGGATTTACAGACCTCCCAGCAAATATGTTGACTCACCCCAACGCCTCGTCGCCATCCTTAAGTGGTCCCCCGGGGCAGGCCAAACCCAAACTCAGTCGATGGAAGTCGCTATTTCGCAAAGCAGCGCCGCCACCCATTACTCCACAGGAGCAGGCCGCATTCTATCAACTATCGCAGTCGGTGGACAAATCAGCTCGTGCCGACAGCCACCACGACGAAGAAGTCAACGAATCAAAGACTTCACTCAAGGACGAAACAGGGAGGGAGAAGCTGCGCAATGTGTCGCCACCTGCATACAAGCCTGACATTCGCGAATCGCGCAAATGGAGCCATGGCGAGTTTGTCGTGCCCAAGTCACCTCCACAAGCAACATCAACCAGAGGCCGCGCGGTGACGGTTGGAAATCCTGCTTCAGACCTCCAGGAGAGGACCATCCAACGTTCAATCCCGGCAACAAATTTCCCTTCACGAACTGAGACTGACGACACTGCTTCAACCATCGATGCTATATCGCCCAAAAATGTCGGCGATTTTCCAGCTGCGGAGTCGAGCAGTTCAACACCGACGGAAGCTCCAATCCTTGACATCACACTCCCTGACATCACAATGGAGAGGTACAGCATCATGTTCGGCAACCTTTTGCAGTCTGGGCCGAGCCGTTCATCGCTCCTAGAGCGACGCCAAGGAAATACAGAAAAGGTCAAGCCGTTGAACGAGCTTTCTGCCAAGGTAGGTTTGATAGCGGCATGAGGTCTCTTTGTGTATGCTAACAGTAGTGTAGGATGAGCCACCAGTTGAGAGCTTCCCTCTTCAGCGCAGAGTGACTTCGCCGGTTGTGACGTCCTCACCACGGCTAACACTGTTCCCTCCCACGACCACGTCTCGCGCACCCTCACCATTGGGTACACCCGTTATTAACCGCAGCAAGAGGGACATTAAACGTTCCAAGACGCTGCCCTCAAAGTCGCCTGTTCGAACCGAGTTTGTAGATATTTCAGATCGCTCTGAAAAAAAGATTGATGCCGCAAAACTAGCACCAGCAGCATCTCCATACCTGAAGCCTGCCCTGACGCCAACCTCCATGTCCGGCTCCGAGTCTGAAGCCGAATCCGTTCGCGTTGTTGCCGCCCCGATTTTGCACGGCCACGGCCAACCGACGACGCTTCATCTCGACGACCGGGAACCCGACTGGGAACTTTGTGCGCCGCCACCTCGAGCGGCAAAACGCGAAGCTCTCGTTATCCCGGACACGCCCGTTTCAACGCTTGTCCGCTCTCCCTCGACAAGGCAGCCAAAAGTCACCAAGATGAGCGCTCTCTGTTCACACCCGGCTTCTGCGCCTATCGACGTACCTTCGCCGCTGCAGCGACTACAGAGTCTCTCGACCCCACCGCATTCGGCCAGCCGGCTTGGGGAGAAGCGTGCAGAGATTCAGGCACGGAGACGAGAGGCAAATGGCGACAATGCAGTAACAGCAAAAGCTACAGTGGGACTCGCGAGGAGCGTTTCTCTCAGCAGAGCACACAGTCCCCGAACTGTGGTCCGCGTCTCAACCATACCGAGTGAGGAGCGAGTCCTTGACAAACTAGCCCTTACACCCACCATGGTCGAAGTCAAGAACCGCAAGAGTCATAGAGTGCAGCTCGAAGACGCTTAGACGATTTTCCTTTCATTTTCGTTTTCTATCTTTATATCTTTCATCATTCAACTCTTCCCACAATCTTTAGCTTCTGGCATCTTTTTCTTATGTCATTGGCATTCCAAGGCTGCGCTTGTAGCGATAGGGGTTTCTACAGGCTTTTTTTTCTAACGGCGTCATGTCTTTTTCTACCTGGCGGGCACACATTGTGCTTCGCCCATTCACATGGGTAGTTTTTTTTCTCCCTTGTTGCTAGCGGGGGTCGTTTCGGTCGGAGTTATCAAGGCCCATTTCGCCTTTGTTTGATTACATCAATAGGGGGGTTCTGGTTCACACTGTGCAAGGCGTGCTGCTGGACGGTGTGCAAGGGTGGTTCGGTTGGGTGGGTAAAGGGGGGAATGGATGGACAAAGACATTACAAATAGGTCGGGCTTCTAGATCAGAGGCCCAGCAAGATTCCAATGCCAGTTATTGCAAGGTCCGATTGTGCAGTCTAAGCGTAGGATTATGACGTGGATGCACGGTGGTTTTCAAGTGAGGCCCTGTAATGCTGTAAGATGGGCCAGGATACGCTTCATTATTTTGTACAATGGCTTTGCAAGTCGAATTGTCAGGCCACCTTGATGTCGGCCCCATGCTCACAGGAATTCCGGGGCAGTGTCCCACCGGTGAGATGGTGAAGAACCCTAGCGCAGGATTTTACCGTCCGTCTGTTCCGTGACATCAACATAAAGTATGGTAGGGGCGATGGTAAGGGCGACGCTTGGGTGGAGGCGAGACTACTAGGGAGAGGCGGAAGGCTGTAGTAAACGGGACGGCCCCGCCCTTTTTCGCTGATTTCCTCGCCCCTATGTAGTACGACTAGTACTCCTAGGTTCCAATACTATAAAGCGCCCGCATTCCTCAGACGTATACTTGTATACAAGCTTCATTCTCACCTGTCAAGCTCAGTCTTTGCGCCACAGGGCCTTGGGAAACATGGCAACTTGTGCGCTGGGGCATATATGGCCTCTTGGCCGATGCGCGGTACATGCAGCCCACTGATGATGGGCTTCACGCGTCGTAGTAGGCGCAGTAAAGAAAGTCCAACAGCCGGGCTAGCGACCCGTCAGCCAAGTGTATCTTGCAGCCTCTGTAACGATATCGAGTCGCTTTTGGATCGGTGGCTTCACACAGCCCGCTTGCATCACAGCCATAAGCTTGTATCATTGGAGACTGCGCCATCAAGAGCTGCACCTGGTTTAAGCAATACTGTCGCCTATCGTCAGCTCAGCAGAAGCTTAGCCAAACACACTCATTGCTCGCATGTCCACCGGCTGGGTCTGAGTGAGGCTGAGTGTCGTCGTCTTCCTCTTGTACTGGCTGCCTCGATGCAACCTACGCCAGTCTTTCCATCTCCTCCCCCGCTCCTTTCTGCCGTCTCTTGACATATTCCTATTACTCGCGTCTTTGTGCTTGCCTGGTTTCCAACTCGATTTTTTTTTCTCATGCGGCAGCCTGATACGTGACGTATCCTCGGCATTTCCCCGCATCAATCCAGCCGGCGGATAACAGCCCTCACCACGCAAGTCGAGCGACTTGCCAGGAATATTCGGCCCTTGACCACACACAACCTGGTTCACCCATCAGCGAGCTTGTAATCCCTCCACTCAGACTCTTCTTCCTGGCGAATGCGCCAAGCTTAGTACAAAGCTGCTATCAATGCCCCTCGTACGGACAGGGACCACAACCTAGACAGTGGGGGGTGTCGAGTCCAAACTCGCCGCGCATCCAGCACCCATCTTGAAAATGTCTGGTCTTGAGGTGAGGCATTTTCTTGCCACTTGACACGAGCTTTCCCCCGCACTCTCGTATATTTTGTCCATGATAAGATATCAAGTCGTACCTCAGTAGTCGCTTACCGGGCCCTAGGTTGTTGCTGCTGTGGCTGCTGTCGTCTCCGCTTTTCATGCCGGATCGGAACTGCTGAAACACGTGCGGAAGAAACGCAGTGCTCGCAAAGCCCGAAACTCGGCTCAACAAGAATGGGAAGAAGAGCGACTACAAGCTTCTCTTGTGGCGGGTGAGCAACAGATTGGCCTCCACTACGATCAGGACCAAAGAGAGTTGGGCGATCTAGTACGCATTGGTGATGGTAAAACATACCCCATCCGGCATGACACATGTTTACGCTGCTTATCAATACCCATAGATATCGCCCGAGAGCGTCTTTACCACATAACATTGATGCTACAGGCTGAGATAATCAACAGTCTCAAACAAGCTGCTACAAGGTATGTCTTCGAGAAGCATCCAACATGACAAATGGATCAACTAAACATGTTCCTTCAGCGAGGTTTGTGTACTCGATTTGCGGGTTCTGCATCAGGCCTCACTCACAAATCGCAAAGAGACACTCGTGACTCTCGAAGAACTCAAGCAAAGGATATATCTGAGAAGACCCATGGCACGGCAACCCCAGGATTTTGGCGACAAGCCCAGACTATGGCAGTCACGCTTCTTACCACCAACCGCGCAGTCTAGCCACAAGCCGACCCATGCACTGCACGATGCTTACGCTGAATATCCCCGGCATACTGAATATCGAACGACAAGACACGGCTCAACTGACAACTACCACCAGCTTGGCATCAAAGACATGTCCACTCCGACTCTTCCGGCCTATGTTCCCGCACATGCTTTTGGTGAAGATTTAAGCAAGGCGCTAGAACGCATACATCCTGATCATCGCGCAAATGTAATGAGAGACATTCAACAGATGATCAACTCGTATCAAAGCCTTAGTTTCAGCAGCGGGGATGATCAACAACAAATAAACGGATACAGCGGAAGCTATTCTGGACTACAAGAACCCCTCGGTTCGCCGAGCCCCCAAGATGTATCTGAAACAACAATGACGGAGTTTGAACAAGACCCTCACCATAAACTTCACCAGGTGCCACGAGCATCAACTGATCAAAATGGAAAGCATTCTGCCAGGACTCCAACATTCGACAAAGACATGTTTGCCTTGGAAAGTGAGCAGTTTGACTATCTTCGACCCTTTGTCGCCCTAAATAAACACTCCCATGTACAAGCCAGAGCACCAAGACAGGCACGATGGTCAGAGTCCTCGGGCGCCAGTTCTGATCCGTCATATCTTGCATCACTCAATCGGAACAGCTCTAATTCCTCTCAAGGCTCATCTAACCAAACACCTGGGCCATCTCAGCAGTCACAGCCTTTTGATCATGGCCGCATTCCCTCAGTACCCACGACACTGGATGATTGCTATCAGCTGAATGACAAGGACTACCATAGTTTATCTGACCCATCATCTCCACATGAAGATTCAGAAGATAGATACGACCTTCCACACATAGCACCATTGGCGCCCTCACGCAACCAGCCCAAGACTTCACAAAATGGCATGTACAGAAAGGCTTCAATCTACAAGGCAGTCCCTGTAACTACCGCGGGTACAAACCCACCAATTCATGTCCCATGGCCAGGAACTCAGCAACATGAAGAAACACCACCAGCCACGCAGCACGGTTCCCGACAACGATATCGAGACTCATTTGACGAAAAGGAAGCCTTCAATACCAGCGACCTCCGCCTACCCAAGTACACGGTAGAAATCACAGCCAACAATGCACCAGCCAATACATCAGGACATCATCGATCCGTGTCAGGACTCTCAGCCATTACCGCCGCAGCCGCCGCCTTGAAACCCAAGAATCTAACACGGAAAGCCAGCATAAACCAATCTCTGCGGTCCCACAGGTCCACTTCAAGCGGCAGCAGTACCTCGATGCCCATCGGCATCCTCCCAGGCCACCGCATGCACAGCATCCGCCACGAAACGATCCAAAGCGGGCCTGTCCGCAGCGACACGATGATGAACGGGCGCCCCGACAAAGGCAACAACTACTGGGGCTTCTGCAAAGGCGCCTGGGCCGTCCGCGAAGACCTCGCAAAGGGCCTCGCCGTGCGCGCCCAACCCGCAGGCCTCTACGCCACAAAATCCCTCTGGGCCTGCAAATCCTGCACTTTCACCGGCGACGTCTTCAAAACCCCGCACCCCACCAAGAAAAACAAACTCCTCGATGTCGTGGATCCCCGCGTTAAGACATCGAAGTCCGGGATCCGCTACCGTTGGATTTTCTTGGCAAAATCTCACGTCAAGAAGAAGGCTGGGGCTGCTGCTGCAGAGGCGAATACCGGTTCTACGACTGCTGCGTCGAACGATGATAATTACGGGTGCATTTTTTGCTGTCTCCAGGATAAAATCACGGGTGTATATGGGGGCGTTGAGACTCTGATGAATCATATTGCGCAGGTGCATGTGGCGGATATGAGCGAGGCGGTGCGGAGGAAGGCCCAGTGTGTTTTGGGCAGAGTGGCGGGTAGTGATGAGGAGTTTGATATTAATATCCCGATTTTTGGGTAGTATTTTTTTTGAGACGGGGGGGGGGTCTCAGGCTGGTTAGGACGCCTTCTTGTTTGGTACATATCATTTGGATCTTCTTGAGGGGGTGGGAACTTGTTTTGCAATTTGTTTAGGATACCCCATTCTACCCGTTATTCGATTTTAAATTGGTTTACAATGTGCTTTGCTCATCTTCGTGGAGTACTTGATTTTTTCTTCTTCTTCTTCTTCTTCTTCTTCTTCTTCTTCTTCTTCTTCTTCTTCTTCGAAAAAGGGCTCTCTTGGAAATGACGATGCAAATTTTGTTATTTGTTCAGTTAGCTGAGCTGGTGCAAGTAGCATTTAAAAGAAATGTTACCATGTCTTCCTCTACTTTTACATCATGTATCAACGTATAGGTTCTTACTGGCTCACTTTTCTGTGACATGGGTTTGACTGAAATATGCAATATCAACTCGCGTATAAGCTTTTTTTTCATAGAATTGGAAGCACAAACTTCAAGTAAAGATGGAACGAGCTTTCCCGTTTCTCATACAAGTGTCAAGGTCCTTTTCTCCCACTTCATCTCAGACACAGCACCTTCTCCATGGGGTAGCCACAGTTTCTCGTACTCTTCCTTTTTCAATTCCTCCAGTGTTCTGGTGAGCATGTCGTATGTTGTTATCGAAGCAGGAAATTCAATCTCTCTAAACGTAGGTGTCCATAGTCCAATCCGACGAAAGACGCCGGGTCTTGATTCCTCAACAATCAAAGCCACCATTCGTAAATCCGAAATTGATTTAGAATAAGCTCGCAGATAGGCCAGGTGAAGTGTATGGCAGTCTTCGCGGGGCTTGATCTCGAAAAATTCGGCATATCTCCAATACTTATCGTGGTCTTTACTAGTCCTATCAAATGGATATCGGAGGACCCAGGTCGTCATCTCCATGGACGGAAGAAATAATTCATGGCTATCCTCATTCTTCATGAATTCACATAAGTCCATCTTTATGCCTTGCTTTTTTGTCACGCAAACTTCAATATCGTCGTGTTGCAATGGGTCCCCCGAGTGTTTGTTATGATATAGTTTTCCTGGTGATTGACTTGCTTTGGCTGAAGCCCAGCTCCAAGAAGGAAACACATTTGTTGCCCCTCCACCATGCGAGTCAACATGATGATTCCAATCCAAACACCAACAGAGGTTTGAGATGAGTGACCTTCTCGCCATATCTTTATTTTCATCGCAATGTAGCAGCAACACGCCATAGAATTGCTTCACTCTGAACGGGAAAGACTCTGATTCGTCAAATGCATTGACAACACCATCAAATGCAAGTATGGAGTCGATGCCGAATGATAGCTCTCTTCTGAAATATTCCTCCAACCGACGGAGCAGATCGTCAACAGTTTCGCCAATTCCGCCTAATGGAAAACATGAAATCAGGGAACTCCGCTCCCTTCTGTAATATGTATAATCCGGATTCAAACTCTCCATGCAAATTACATTTCTGCACTGGAAATACATTTGGGTTTTGGTGAAGACCAGCCGCCGACGAGATAGAAGCATTTCTTGAAATGTCCATCCACGACTTGACCACTTTGTCTTGTTTGTTTCCTGTAAAGGATCCGCAACCGTAACGAAGGTTTTTCCTCCTAATTCAATGGTGATTGGCTCTTCTCTCAATGTGTCTTGAACTCCTGGAAGCCCATAATGGGGGTCGTCTCCAATGGCAGCTATGATCGTAACTTCTGCCTGTTCGTAGATTTTGTTCATGTTTTTGATAAGTCGGTGCTTCTCTTCATGGTTACTCTGATCAATGCAGTAGCGATCCACCCATAGATATGGTATACCCAGGCTAATTGCTACATCCATGGCGTCTTCTACGGTTCTAGGGATACTTGCTGGTAGCTCATCCCCAAATTCCCTTGCATCCTGCGTAGTGCTGCTACCCCAAACATAGCTCAAGCATATATATGGCTCACAAAGCTTTACTGTCGTAAGTCGGTGGGACTTGCAATCAATGACTCTTAGAACCTGCTCGCCAGTCGTTGGCTGTGTACATTTTTGATCATGGGTCTCCCTACAGATCTTCAATTGGGCCCGAATGAATTGATAATCTGGGTGAAAAGAGCAAAATGCTCCGCGGATGGGTGATGGGCCTATATATCGCACAGGGAAGAATCGAAGAACACAGCTGAAGTAGAAGAGATGGCTTGCTCGTATATGTCCCTCAAACCCGGCACCTGAGGCCCAGGATAGGCGAAGATGATCTGACCTTTCACTACCAGGAACTATGCTCTCTATATATTGGAAAACAGAGTTGAGTTGACGACAGAGGGAGCAGCCGGCGCATATGGATTGTTTTGTGATGGTAGCGCTGAAATTGGAATGGGTTGTGTCGAAAACACTCGGCGTCGTCCTTAGAGACTGAGATACCCATATGTCCAAGGATTTGCATCTTTCACAAAGCGTGTTTGTCGTCAAAGAACGCGTGGTGAAGATTGTAGTGACGTCCCCTAACTTCTTCTTGCGTGGCACATCGATCGGGAATATCCCTTGGTTGTGTAGACTGGAATCCAGTGTGAGGTCTTGCATGGCTTCTCTCTCGATTCTGCAAGTTTTGCAGTCTGTATTGGTGTCTGCTGCGGGAAACAGAACATGAGCATCTTGGAGTAGTGGTGGTAGTTGGGTAGTCATCCTGCGAGAATGAAAGCAATTATACACGGTGCTAGGTACGTAACGGGGTAGGTGTAGAGGCTATTTCTTGTAATGGTATATAAGAGGAATGCATCGACGTCTGCATGGGAGTTGTGGTGCTTAAATTGGGCCCTCAGGCTGAGATTGCAGAGAAGGCGCAGCATTGATTGGCAACGTGGCTGAGTTCCTTCAGGCAGACCGCTTGTGTGACCGCCACTGGCATTAGCGATTTCGCCTGCAGGAACGTCTGAAATCAGGAAAGCGAGATTGAGGCGATGAATTCCGCGGTATGCATTCGTACGGTGGAGGCTGGGTGAGTATTTGACTGATGATTCTGGTATTATTCAAAGAATCAATCAGAGGCGGGAAACAATGTTGTACGCTTAGACGCCACAGAGCGAAGGCGTAGGAAGGAGCGGGTTGGAATACTCGAACCAACATAACATACGTATTTGGAAGGAGCAACGAGTAACTACATAATCTCAAAAACATCTTTTTCTCAGAAAACGAATAGAACACATGAATCTCATCGGAGAATAAACAGCAACCATGACTGTCTCAAAAACGCATAGTCACATGATACTCGTGCAGCTGAGCAGAAAACAAAGACCGAAAAACACCAAACTTGAACACCATGAAACGAAGGATGGGGAGAAGACTAAGAGCCTTATACATGCTCGTGGGCCTGCTGCCTCATTCTACCCGCATTCGCGTTGGTATGATACTTGTGCAACGACATACCGTCGAATGAATGTGATGGGGTCTCTTCAACTTCCTCTTCCATGTCGAACATGCGCCGGAGTTCTTGACACGCAATCGAGTACTGCTGCTTTGCGCTAGCGCTTTCTTTAAGGGGGTTTGGTGCCTTATCCCAGGCATGGGGCACTCCCGGTACACAATGGTAGTGAACGCGCTTACCGAGATCCTTTTGAAGGCGGTCGCGGAACCGTTCGCCTTCGGCGTGAAGCATATCCCATTCACAACAGAAGAGTACAATGTCATCGGGCAAAGCTTCGAGCATGTGGTTTGGTGCTACACCGGGGCTCAACCACGGGTGCGAGAGGTCAAGGGAAGGTGGTTGGAGGTAGGAGTCATCGAAGAGGTCAGTGAAGACGGCAGGCAGATTCTGGTCGACCCTCGGGCAGGTTTCCCTGCGTTGTGCGCGTGTCTGTGTGTAGTCGGTTGGAGGATAGAAGGAGACTATTCCTCTAATCTTGAGAACGGCATTAGTTCCTTCTGTCATGACTGACACACCAGAGCTGTCTTTGTACGAGGTAACGAGCGACAACGACGAGGCGCCCGTCTGGCGGAGCATGGCAATTCGATCAAGGCGTGATTGCTGGCGGATGAGGTGGATGCGCGAGCCGTGTGGTGTGAGGGTCTGGGAAGACGCTTGGGGTGCATGGACGACGCCGTTGGGTACGTTGCCCGCTCGTTGGTCGATAATCTTGGCGCCCCACGGTGTGCGATCGGAGAGTTCACCCTGTAGACACAGAGGGACGGTGAAACTCATGTTGCCGCCGGACGAGAAGCCGGAGATTGCAAAGCGATCCGGGTCGAGCATCAGCTCACTTGCGTGTTGGGCCAGCCAAAGCAACGCATCAGCACCATCCTCTACAGCAGTAGGGAATGGGTTCTCGGGTGCAAGACGATAATCGACGCTGACGACTACGGCTCCCACTTGGTCAACAACGGCACCGCACCAGCGCGCATCGTCGTGGGCTGTGCCGAGAACAAAGCCGCCACCATGGAAATTGATAACAACGGGGTATTTCTTGGCACTCTTGAGTTTTTTCTGCATCCTATAGTCCTTGGGTGTGTAGAAGTTGAGGCGGAACTTGCCCTTGATTGGCGACACGGTGGCGTCTATGTCCTTGTGGAAGGCGGGTTTAGGGGGCCATGGCCGAGCAAGACGATGGAGCACCATACCGATGCCCATCAGCACGCGCCAGAACTGGGCTTGAATATGGAGGATCCATCGTGGCCGGCTGGCCTTGTGTTGTGGTGGAGCGGTATCGACAGACACTGTCATTGTGGGTGGTTGGAGTTGTGCGTGGAGCCAGTCTAAGTCGGGGGTGCCATTTATCAGGCTGCGGAGGGTGAAGGAAATAGACTGGAGTTACCGGTAAGAAAAGGTTCTGGAAAGGTCAGAATGGAATGATTTCATTGGGCGATGACGTAGGGGTGCTGGTTTCAAGGGGTCCGTTCGTCAGTGGGCCGTGACGCCGTCCGGGTGCCGGTCGCACTATGGTCCGCTTTAGGCAAGAGAGGGCTGTGCAGCCCAGCCCAGCCTAGCCCAGCCCTCGCGATAAGATACCATACGGCTGACGGTACAACCTTGACGCCGCGACGCGCAACACGCCATGCCTCACGCTCCTTATTCGTCGCTACAAAGCCAGCTCGGTCGGAACGGCATGAATTCATACCGCTCACTAATGATGTGATTGTGGACTAAGTGTGCTACTTGTAAAACCAACCCTCCTCCATGCATACATACACCCTGCAAAACCACAGACTGGAAAGCTGTCAGCCGCAACACGATGCCGATAGCCAAAGTCACAAACACCCCAAAAAAAAGCAAGCCGGGATGGGTATAGGGCTGCTCAAGTCCTCAGAGAAGCGCCAGACGCTCGCCTATTGATGCTGCCATAAATTAAAAAGCCATACCAAAAGTCGACAATCAAGTCAAGACCACGTGTCAGAGAACGCCGATAAAGTCATATGCAAGAAGTAACAAGGAAGGAGTGCAGGACGAAGAAGACGCAAGCGTCAAGAGATTGGGCCCAGACAGTTAGGCGTCGACGAACTCGTACTCCTCATCCTCGGGAGCGACGCGTCGCTTGGTTCGTGGAATGTCGTCATCAATGTCCAGGACTTCGTACTCGTTCTTGACCAGCTTCTCCGTCTCCTTTGTCTCGAAGCGCTCGACAGCCTTGTCGAGGGCATAGTTGAGGATCTGGCTGCCGTGGCTGGGACCGCGAGCGGCATCGTATGAGTATGCGATGTCGGCATCTGGCGCAGGGGCAGCCGACGGGTGGTCAACGTCTTCGTCGGCCGACGACTCGTCACTGGCCGATGCCATGTCCTTGTGGAAGGTAGAGCGGGCTTTCATAGGGCTAAAGGACGAGGCCCTGCGTCGATTAGTACTCTGATGGCCTCACAAGGACGGAAACAAGGGGGGCGACTTACTTGATATGAGGAAAGGGCTTCGCAGGGCGAGGCTTGCCGTCTTCCTCGCGCCGTCCAGGGCCAAACGACTGGCCATGCGCCCACTTGGCCCTGCTGTTCTTGTCGCGGTTGAACTCCCTGGCGCTGCTGCGAAGGTCGCTGGTGAAGGTCTGCGAGGCCGACATGGTGAGGGTACGAGTGGTTGTGGTGATGGTTGGAAGAGTTGAGGGTAGTATTGGTGGGAGTGTGGTAGGTATGACGGTATGAGTGTATGGAGGAGGAGTGAGGTGTGTCGGTAGGCTGCAAGGGGGACTAGGCGTATAGTAGTATGTATGTATGTATGCGTATGTGGCTGGGTGGTCAAGGAGTAGGTTAGGAGTGACGGAGCTAGAGGGATGATGTGCAAAGAACAGGTAATGTATACAAGTGGGAATGGAATAAGTAGTATAAGAGTGCACGGGTAGGAAGGCGTGGTTGATGACTGGCGGCTGTCTTGTGAATGACTCTGAGAAGTGACTCAGGATGACGGACGTGTATTGGGAGCAAAGACCGGGTGGCTATGCAGGCAGCTGTGAGGGATTATGTATGGCTCGTGTATGTACGGGTAAGTGTATAGTTGGAATGGGCGTAGGGATGGATGTATCTACTTGGTTGGTACGCAGATAGGCATGACCTTGACCTAAATAGTGGCGCGGACGGGACCGCCCTTTGAGATGAGGTCAAAGGCGTCAGCGCCGTCCCCGCTCTTCTGTGCTGCATCTTGATAAGGACAGAGTGAAGGGAGTGGGAGCTCATGACCATGCCATGGCCCCCGACGCGCCCATCCGACTCGCCGAGGCATTTCCCGCGTTAACCCGACGCGGCTCCGGTTTGACGCTGGTGGCCGTGGCGTCATCATCGGAGTTTCATGAGCCTCTTGGTGGCCAACGTGGGCGGGTTGCAGGCTTGCCGTGTTCCTGGATTGCAGCACGAAGACGACGAAGACGACGACGACAATGGACATGGGTCAGGGGGGAGGCGAGGCGAGGCGAGGCAAGGCAAGGCAAGGCAGGCTGGAGCTGGAGCAGCTGAAGCTCCAAGGCTCAAGGCTCAAGGCTCCAGCTTCCCCCATAGTATCCCCCCGATTGCCGACCCCACATGGCCGCCCTCCTTTCCCCGACTATCTTACTACATACATACTTTCCATCGACTCATCACACTCCAACAGTCACGGCATCTCGCAGCCGTCCCAACAATCGCTGCTTACTCTACATCCCACTCGTATATTGCATGGCGCCCCTTTGCTCCCAGCCAACCCCCCGATAGCTGTCTGTCCGCATTCGGTTCCCGTATCTTGCGCCCTTTCTCCCACTAGCTCCGTCCAGTCATGTAATCACAATCTAGAGCCTTCGGGATCCGGCTCACGGCCATGTACCCCATACTAAGTAAAGTAAAGTAGCCACCCACGGCCTTGGGGTAGCCGCCGGCAATCAGCGAGCTGCCAACTCTAACGTGCCAGGTAATACACTCTCTGTTGGCTCAACGGCAATGCACCGCTGTAACAAGACCCTGGTTGCTGTGACTAAGTACACCATGTATCCAAGTGCCCCCTAAAACTAAGGCTTCTCAAGCATATGCCTCAAGTATGGTACGCGGCCTCGTCCTCGTCCTTGTCTTCGTCCATGTCGCTGCCCTCTATCTGCTCTGCCTCGCTCGGGAGCATGTCCGGGAACCACCCGTACTCGTCCAGCTCCACCATGTACTGCCCCATGCCGTCCTGCCTGACCTCTACACCCTCCCTCCGTAGAGCATCAGCTTGGTGCGCCGCTGCACTTGGTCCTCTTTGTGCTCAGTTAGCAGGCAAACACAAAGGCAAACAAGGCGTTGTCGCCATGACGAGGGCGCAGACCTCGGGCTGATGCCGCCTTTGGCGTTGATCACGCGCTGCCAAGGCACATTGCCGCTATGAAACCTAGGCTTCGTCCTGCTGCTGTCGCCCGATGGCGATGGCGATGGCGATGGCAGGTTCTTGAGACACACGCCCACCTGTCTTTTGACGTCACCTGTTAGTTGCAGCAGTGACATGATGGTGATGAGTGCTGCTACCTTGGACACTCGGCTATGATCAAACAAACAAGTCAGCCAGTCGTCGTCATCGTCATCATCCCCTAGCACCACGCACGCTTTCCCACCAGCCGGGCAATGTGTCCGTAGCTGGTGACCTTGCCATACGGTATCTCCTGAATCGCCTCATAAACGGCCGTGTACCACAGCCACACCTCTTCAGACCGTTCTCCAGGCGCCATAGTCGCAGTGTGTAATCCAAGATGAGGTATTGGGGTGGGTGAGATCGCCGGCCAGGGGCTATCGCGACTGATCACACGCCATGACGCGAGATCACGTGACATGGTATGATGCGCGTGCCAAGCCCATGGACTTTGCCTGCCAAACTTCGCGACTTGTGTGCATGCACAATGGGCAGCCAACCCCGCCATCCAATCAAGCATGTCTGGACTTGCCGACTACCTAGCCAAAAACTACCTCACGGCTGATTCGGAAAAGAAATCCAAGAAGCGCAAAAGGAAGAACAAGGATGCTGGCCTCATCATCGAAGACGACGACAATCTGGGCTGGAAAGACAAGGCCGATGATGACGATGATGACGCGCCAATGATAGGTAAAGGCACTCCTCAACTCGCGCAAGCTGCACATGTACATGGCTAACACTGTGCTGATCAGTGGGCGGAGGCACGCTGAAGAAATCAAAGAAGAAATCAAAAGGCACCAGCGCAGCAACGTGGACAGCTGTCGGTGTCGCTGCGCCCTCGCATGCTGCACAACTTGCTGCCGACGCAGCTGCCGCCGATGCCATCATTGCAGGTACGGCTGCCGATCGCGAAAAGGCTGCGGCAGCCGAAGACGAAGCCCCAGAGATGGTAGACCAGGATGGTATACTTCGAACAGCGTCAGGCACAAAGGCAGGCCTGCAAACGGCTGCCCAAGTCGAGGCCGCCATGAACAAGAAGCTAGACGAGGAGAAGCGCCAGGCCGAGAAAATCGCAAAGGAAATGGGGGGTGCGGCACCGGAAACCATATACCGAGATGCCAGCGGTCGCATCATCAATGTCGCCATGAAGCGCGCCGAGGCACGCAAAAAGGCTGAGGAAGAGGAGCGGCAGAAGCGTGAAAAGGAACGCGCAGCACGCGGAGACGTGCAAAACGCAGAAGCCGAACGCCGCAAACAACAGCTGCAAGACGCAAAGACAATGACGGTCGCCCGATACGCAGATGACGCCGAACTCAACGACGAGCTCAAGGAACGCGATCATTGGAACGACCCGGCCATGGGCTTTTTGCGCAAAAAGAAGGCCGGGCGCAGTATCACAGGAAAGCCGTTGTACAAGGGGCCGTTCCAGCCAAACAGATACAACATTCGTCCTGGTCACCGGTGGGACGGCATTGACCGTAGTAATGGATTCGAGAAGCAGTGGTTTGACTCGAGAAATCGCAAGGCGAACATTGAGAAACTCGAGTATCAGTGGCAAATGGATGAGTAGTCCTGTTTTGTTTGTTTATTCATAAAAGGTTAACCATATGCTTCTTTTTGTTGCATGTTGCATAGCGCAGGCGTTTTTGAAATGTTTACCAAAATTACTAGTTTCGGCCGGGTACACGGTCATTCCACATTCAGTCTCGAGTCTTGATGCATTGCTGTAACGTGAACAAAAGTAAGGCAGAAATACGTGAATGAGTATCTCTTTTTTCTTGGCTCGTTGATAGGAATTGTCTGAGATACTTTTTGTAGAAGAAGACAAGAGTGAAATCCATTATGACACAAGGAGACAACCAGACTCTTACAGTTCAAATCACATCATGCTCGAGAAGTACATTATGCGAATTGGAAAGCTAAGCTCAAGTTCATGACTACTCTTGTAATCTCGACAGCTGCATGATGTTGTCTCTTAAATCCACCTTGTGAGTTATATTGCACATATTTACAAATTTGATTCTTCCTCCAAACTAATAAAGAATCTATCTCATCATGAATTGTACACATATCTTAGCCATCTTCAAGTCTATCCAAGTCTATCCAAGTCTGAACCTCTACACATCTCAAACCCATGTCACAGTACCTTTAGTCTCGAGAACTCCCAAGATGTATAGTTCTCGATTCTAAAGTGACGAGTATGACAAATGTCGCATTTCGAAGAATATTTAAAATATCTTAGTGTCATGTCCATTATATTGTAGCTCAGCATACGGGATTTAATGTTTAGTCAGGTGGGTGATGGATTCTTAGTATAGATTGCTTATTTAGAACTACTTATGTGGGTACGCAGGATGAATGACTTATTTGGAAATGTTGCAATCAAAGGGCGAGAATATAACAAGATAAATGTTACTAGTGGTCAGGAGGAGAGATAGGAGAGAGTTTTAGGGCAGCAGTTGCTTTGTATTATACTAAACCAGCTGTAAAAAGTTTACATGTTCAGACGAGGAAAAAATGCTACCATAGATGTCGAACCACAGGGACCATTTTGTCAGCGTATGCAACAACTAATCCATTCATTTAGACTATAATTATATCCAATTCAATCAATCCTTCAAGTGCCAAAGTCCACTGTCACATATATCACAAACACAGCATACTTGACGTTTCAAATTCTTATTCTTTGATTCAAAAGAGTGTCCATAATTCATAACTCTTCATGCAGAAAATTCCCATCATCCACCCTTCCTACTCAAAGGTTCCTATGCTAACCCTCTCAAAGTCACAAAAAACAAACGACCATCATCTTGAAAACAAAAAAGTTCTTGTCCATCTCTGTGAAAATCGCTCGATGGAAACCGTGGCGTTGTCGTGCTTTTCAAAGGTTGCAAAAGTCGGGTGGTGTTATATTATTAACTTAGTGCTAAAGGATGTTGGTATTAGCAAACATTGTTTCTGGAACAGGCCGAGAAAGAAGAGAGAGAGAGAGGAACTTACGGAGCAAGATCCGCAGTTGCAGCTGGAGCAGTCACCCTTGCAGGAGCAGGTGTTGCAGGTGCTGTTAAAACACAAAGCAGTTAGCAAAAAGAAAGTTCAATCTTCGTCTCAAAAAAAGAAAGGGTTCGAAACGATCCAACTGGTTGCACCACTGCTAGGAGCAAGCACATGATGAGGCGAGGGGGCCATCACGGTGCTAACGGCTATCCCCCATGCAGCAGGATGCCCAGCAGACGGCGTGATGCATCGTGTAGGGAGTACGCTGAGCAGACATACCATGGAGACATGATGAAGGATGGTTGATTGATTGGTTGGTTGGTTGGTTGAAAGTAGCTTAGTGTATTGAGTTTGGTAGATGAGCAAATGTTGGAGCGCGATGAGGCCATCAAGGTGCTGAGATTGGGGGGGTATTTATATAGAGCCCGCCGACCGTCTCGCCTTACTCTGGCTCATTCGTCTCCCCCTTCTCTACCCACGCTTGGCCCAGCTGCTCGTTTGAGTGGATATCGAGGGCGCTTGGGTCATGCGCGACTTGTGCGGCCGACCGCCCACCCCCTCCACCCCCCCGTGATGGTGGGGTGTCTTGTCCCAACGAGTGACATATCGAATATACTAGAGTTGACCCCCTCCTTTTCAGTAACGACCAAGGCCGACACCATGCGCGCTATGCTCATCACCTCTTACCCATACAGACGACACTGTGACGCTGGACCGGGAGGTTTGGTTGGTTGGCATCATACATTGGCCGTCGGACAAGACTTGATTGGATAACTACAGGCATGGCTGGGGTTGGTCGGTCAGGGCTTGGACGACTCGGTGGGATAACCGCTTGAGGCGATGGGCCACTCGCACAAGTCGCGCAGTCGCCCCCGGTATACTCCGTGAGGCGCGTATGGTGGGCTCCACTGCGCCCTGCTTTCACTACCTAGTTGTTGCCTGACCACTTGATTGACCCGAGAGCCCGGACATGACTCCGCCTGAGTATCGTTTTCTGGGGTCTCAAACTCGATGCCATGGGCACACGGAACTTGGTGTGGAGCACTTGGTCCGGAGGACCGCTTCACTTAGGCAGGGCCATGCAACGGCACAACCGCCGACGTGGGAACCAGCCTGGCCGCATTTATCTGATATGGAATGTTTACGTATCCGTTGCTGACTGGCTATGGATGTGTCTATTGTGCTTTGAAGGCTGGTGACACTGCGCCCAGAAGTGTGAACCCCGCCCTTCTTTTCACCGCATACAGTGCATGTGTGACATGGCTGATAATGCAAGACATAGCTAGGCGCAGGTGTAGATGACGGCAAGCAACAGACGGCTCTGCAATATCATGATGCATAGTACTATAATCGCGTGGTTGTCGTTTGCAGTACAAGACTGGGCGCATACATAGATGTGTGGATTCGGCATCAGTGACGTAGCGCTTCCAATCGAGATGGCCACACTAGCTTCCACGTTGGACCCCCCCACGTGACTCGATCGTGCCTAGTCACATGCCGGCCAATAACGACAGTCCTGCCGTCCAGCTACTAGTACGCAATCACGTGGGCGTGGGCTCTCGGGCTGGAAGCAGTTAGTGAAAGTGACAAGGCATGAGAGTACCTAGTATACAAGGACATCATGACATGTATCGTCTCCATAGTATCTCACCGACAGTTGTTAGTAGTGTAGTAATCTCTTACGCAATACTCTCACAACTGACTGCTTAGGCCTACAATGCTACTACATATGTGCAGGACCATCTAGGCTGTGGACCTGGACACAGTGACATGTATCCCCCCACGCAACACTTGCTAGTCTCCAGCACTAGTGCTCATCAGCTGTGGCCATAGGTCCGATGTGGTTGCGTGATCAATTTAGCCGAGTTACATTCGTCTGCCTTGCCATGGAATCTCGGCATATGGTTTCTATTATTAAGAGTCTGAGATTGACATCGTACTAGATCAGAGGCACCGGCTTCGGGCTTCGCCGAAACAAGAAACGCTAGTACTACAGAGCATGCCCGATATGTTATTGTTTTTTTTCACGACAAGTTGCTGTTGACGTGGCATGGCTGTCGAATGCAACCACCATGACATGACAGGGTCATGCGTGATATTGGCCGTCATGACTTCGATTTGTATTGAAGCGTGATTGACTGTTGATACTAACGGTGTTTCGACAAGACCTAACAATAACTTATATTCTTCGCTCTGCATCAACATGCCAAGCAGTGACATCTGGTCCATGGTGCACTTGGGGAGACAGTGAAATATCCTCCATGATTTTCGCAGCATCCAGGACAAGCTCATCGTCTCCGTATTGACCAACCACCTGCAGGCCCACAGTGTTGAAGATTGAATCACTTCCTCCCACTACCCCAACGTCTTCTTCCCCCAAGTTTACACCTACGGGGACACTGATGGCTGGCAGTCCCGCCAAACTGGCAGGAACAGTGAATACGTCGTTCATATACGATTGAATAGGATCCTGGGTTTCCACTTCTGATAGCGATGGCGCCATGGATGGTGCCGTGGGGCACACGATAACATCAATCCCCTCCTCTGGCTGCTTTGGGGCTGTCCCATCTTCAAAAAGAGGATTGCGTCTTGCAAACACGCTGTTGAAGTCTTGCTGGACCAGTCTGCGGACCTTTTGTGCCTGAATAAAGTAGTTGTCGATAGCTTTGGCGCTGAGCGAGAAGGCTCCAAGCAAGATTCTGCGTTGAACTTCGGCTCCAAAGCCCTGGCCACGAGTTTTGGCGAATAGCACGCTATCAGGCGTTCCATCAACGCCTTCTGATCTACTGCCAAAGCGTACTCCATCGTACTTTGCAAGGTTACTGGATGCTTCGGCTGGTGCAAGTACGTAGTATGCTGACAAAGCTTGTTGTGTCGTCGGTAGCCGAATAGGATGCAAGCTGTGGCCGCGATCCCATAAGTGATTTAGATGCCGAACCCATGCTTTGCGAACAACGGGCTGCAGGGTCTCGATGTTGTAGTCGAGGGGTATGCCAATCCTTAGAGACGATGGCTGGTTCTCCTTTCGCTTTCCAAAACGTGCACGTGTTGAATGAGGAATGGAAGTTGGGTCTTGTTGATCATGCATGTTGATTTTGTCTTTATGACTTGTCAGATGTGCTGTATACTTAGGTAGTAACTGCACTTACCAAAGATGGCTCTCACATCCTCAGTGCTTCGCCCAAGTATACCAACAGTGTCTAGAGAGTTGGCATAGGCGATCACGCCCCACCTTGAAAGCAGGCCGTAACTCGGCTTGAACCCGACAACACCTGTATATGAAGCAGGCAGTCTGACAGAGCCTCCAGTATCGGTCCCTAACGCTCTGCTTGTCTTAGCATATATAGTCTGGTCTCGGCAATACCTGGGGACTTACGCCCAGCACTGAGAACTGGCAACTGCAAGCGCACTTCCTCCTGAGCTTCCTCCTGCACTCAAGTCCTCGCCCTCATACCTCTGCATCCTTACTGGGTCGAACTGCGAATGTGTCGAATGCGAGCCCATGCCAAACTCATCCATGTTGGTTTTGCCCACAATTACAGCACCTTCATCCTGGAGGAGCTTAACTACCGTCGCATCGTACGGGCTGGTGAAGTCCTTCAATATATTGGAGGATGCTGTTGTATTCAAGCTTTTTGTGCAAATGTTATCTTTTATTGCGATTGGCTTGTCCTTGATGCTGCGAGAAGCAGGACTCGATTCGGCGGCATTGTCGCGCGCGGCGAGGTCTGACGGAGAGACTAGTGAGTTGAAGACATTGAAATGTTTGTACTTGGATTGGTTCAGTAGGTATGTCTTGGCATACCTGGAGAGTGACATGGAGGGTGAGTCGCATCACTGTCGCGGGCTGGAAGTCTGAAGTTCGTGAGCGGGACGAAAAACTGCCGCGACGTCATGCGCGGTTCCGTCAACACGCAGACTGACTCGAGGGCGCTCAACCCATACACAGTAGGTCTACTGCCATCCATGCCCTACGCGTGGCCGTGGAATGTCACAGATTTTGACCGACGTTTGCCAAAAGAAAGCCTCCGCCAAATCGTATATGTAGTCTCGACAACTCCAGGTCCCTAGGGGTCCTCACAGCGGCATACATGTCTATATAGCCAGGCCGTGCTACGGCAAGAGATCACCACCCATCATGCATTGCAAGGGAAAAAGGGTATATGAAAAGAAAACATCAAAGTTCAACTCAGATATCAAGGTGTTGCCTGATATCGTCACCGAGCCTCCACTCCTCATCCCTAACTATACGGTCGAGCGGACTCTGCACATCGTCCTCGTCGCTTCGTCTCGTTCCGCTGGTGCCCGCATCACTAACTGCCGTAGCACCGCTAACACTGCCGCAATTGCTCTTGCTCCTCTTTCTCTTGAACCAGCTTCTCCTACTCTTGGTGCTCGCAGCATCCGTGTCCGAAACGACCGATGCAGCATACTCGCGTCCATCGCCCTCGACGAGCGTCGGGTCGGTGCTTGATGTCACGCTGAGATTCGACGAAAGTTTCCGGAGGTGGTTGGCGTCGGAATCGCCAGAGCTGTCGACTGGAGCAGGCCTAGGTGTTGGTATGGGTGTAGTCTCTGTTGAAGGAGTTGATTCGACAAGCTCGGCATCACGGTACCATTTGCGACGGCGTGTATAGCGACCCCAGCCATCTTGACCTCTTCGACCATCTCTCCACTTTTACAAGTCAGTGTCTTTATATCATACCCATAATCTGATGAACTGTACCTTATTGTCATAGTAGATCCAGCCTAGCTCCTCCTTTGAGATACCCTTTTCGACCTTACCATCTTTGGCAGCGCCATCAATCTTCCACTCACTACCCTGGACCCACCGCCATCTCGCACCACCACCTTCAACTTCAGGCAGCTCAAACTGTTCCTTGGGTGGCACAGGATTGAGATGCTCATCCGTCCATGACGCCCGCTCATAAGCAAGCATCGACGAGGTCCAGCCAATGCCTAGCCACCTCCGCTGGTTCTCATAAATGGAAAAAGTAAAGCGCACTCCAGTTGACTCTGGTCGGCGCTTAGCAGCTAGTGAGGCAGCAACTTCCTGGGTGCTCTTTTTCCGCGGCGGGAGAGGAGGTGGTCCCTTCTGGTTTGCTGATGTTATCTCGCCAAAGTCTAGGCCGGTGAGGAAAGCGCATGTTTTTCGGACCGTCTTTGATCTCCAAAGCAGTGTGCGCGTGACGCGCGCTGGCCGCGAATGCCAGCTGAGCATCACTGTGCCTATTGCCAGTACGACTCTCTTCGTGGTAAGAATGTAGAAGGGTGGGAGCGTAAGGGCGATCCATAGAGGCAGTACGAAGAGAATGCGGATAAACAGCACAGTCAGTGCTGGTCGTGTTGTAGCCGATGTAGCCGTCCTCTGAGTAGAAAGGAAATCTGTCAGGCGTAAAAATGGATCCAATAGAATATTGCAGCGCGAAGTAAAGAGTTTTAGGCTATCAACAATCTCCTCCAGACTCTTGTGGTGCTTGATGCTGGTGTCCGACTCGACTCGTTTGTGTTCCGTCTGGCCCTTTTCGCCAGTCCAGCCCGTGGATGACAGGGGCGAGTACCTGCGCGTGTACATGCCCAGTATCAGAACCGAGACTATGATGATGGGTCCGGCATATCTCGTGACTGCATCCCCATACATGACGACTGCCCAGAAGGCGGCTACGAGGAGAAAGCTCTCCCATGGATCGCCCGTCGTCCATGTCACCAGGCCGGCAAACTTGTTCAGCGGGAGTATAAAGGGATGCGAATATGCGAGGACGCGGGTAATTTGAGGCGGCGTAGCAGCAAGCAATGGGGATTTCTGGTGGACAAGTATGGCGGAGCGGCGCTTGGTCTGGGGCGCTGTCTGGCCTAGATGGGCGGGCGAGAAGGAGGCATAGGTGGGCGGATTCGGATCACCGGTAGACGGCGGAGACGACGCATCGTTAGTGGACTTGTGAGGAGTGGACATGTGCTCTATCCAGGGTGTATCTAGTCGAGTATGAGCATGGTGGTTGCGCGACCACTTTTACACGCAGTCTTGTTGCGAGTCTGGAGGCGACGGACCTAGTGCTGCCATGCATGTGGATGTGCGTCATCGCCTAGCTGCGCAGAGGAGGCTGAGGGCCGCGTTGATGTCAAGCCACGCTCGGCGTGTATATTTGTACAAAATGAAGCGAGTGCGCGAATACGCACAAGGACGGCCTGAGAGTGAACAGAGGATGTCATGCAACTACTAGCACTTGCGGCGTTGCTGCACACGGTCATGTCTTCTGCGGGGGTTCCCGAGCATGTGAAGGTCTTAGTCCGAGGGCGACTCGTGGGAGCCTTGTGACAGCCCTCGGCGACGCGCTCCTTGTAGACAGCAAGCTGAGCATGCTTGTACGACAAATACGTACCAATCCGGAATCCAGTTGGCTGTTCCGCTCGCATCTGCATGCATCAGAGCACACAAGAACACAGTGGTTGCGGACATGACGGTTTGCGATCGTTGCGTGATTGGCCAACCTGCGATGATCACGTGCGAGCCTCGGAAGCGGACCGAAACTACGAAAGGTGCCCCAGAAATTTTGGACATGGCCTCATCGCCGTCCGCACCCGCCACCACGAAGCAGAAGTCGAGCACCTGCGCCTCACGGCCCTGAAAGAGAAGCAATTCTTGTTCGTTTGTCGTCCCCGTTTTCATCATAGCCATAATGGTGCGCTGCAACAATATCTTCTTCCCACCACGCTGAACTAACGCCTGCAGGCCCACCGCATAATAACACAAGTCGTCTTTTCTGGCGCCCGGATAATAGGTCGAGCCGTATCCGAGTCGTACCGTCAAGCGGCTGCCTCGCAGAAATATGCAGCAGCCAACCAGGGTGGAAAAAGCGGAGGCGCCTTCTCATCCTCAAACATCACCATGGATGAGGCCTGCCAGATCTTGAATGTGGGGCCAGGAAAGATGGGAAACATTGAGCTGGAAGCAGTCACAGAGCGATTCAAACGACTGTTTGACCTGAATGACCCAAAGAAGGGTGGCAGTTTCTATCTGCAGAGCAAGATCCTGAGGGCAAGAGAGAGGATCGAGAGGGAGATACAAGGCCACCAACGGGTAGCGGAAAGAGAAAAGGAATTGCAAGAGGGCTTCAAGCCAAAGTTCACAAAGGAGGATTAGGTCGGACTCAACGCAGATGAAGTGGCCGACACTTTGGTCATAGACGGCATTGCAAACCACCCAAACAGCAGAGGCAGGTTGTTGCAGGGGCCAAAGTGTCCAAGTATTGTAGATGGCGATGAAGGGTATCTTGTTGCATTTGAGCGGCGTTTGGCATAGCGTTTGGACCTTCTCTGGGCACAGTTCAGCGAAGACGCACTGTGGTTGAGGGGGCACTTTGACTGACACGGGTATGCTTTTACGTCTCTCCACTCCTGCACGCACATGTGCTATTTTTTTAATGTTCGAATACTGTACCATTATACGCTGTAACAAGGAAATCGACAGCTGAGCCATATTCACTGCATCCCATACCGAAGCTACCCACGTGACCGTTTTGATCCCAATCGCAGGCATGGTTTGGCCTAGGAGCTAGTGAGGCCGTGTGTTGCTGGAGCATGTAGCCTGTGCATGTACTATGTATATATTTACGTACTTTGCGTCCGTATCGTTTACCATTGCTAGCATGTAGTGGAGTCGACGAGGGGCTGGCAGTCCTCACCCCCACAACGCCAGAGGGTCGCGCTAGAGGCTTGGCTTACACCAAGCCCGTCTCGACACAAAACTTTCGCGCGCAACCATCGCTGCCCTTTTGCATCACACCACTATCCCCCAAACGCCACCTGTACATACACACGCACGCACGCATATACACACAACCATAGTCACTGGCCGCGGACGATCCTGAATACACCTGGAAATCACGACACGCCATGACCGACTCATATCGCCCTGGGCGCGACCGCCCGCCACCGCTCGCCGACCGCATGACGTTCACGGGTGGAGATGGCGACAGTTATCGACCCGGCGGCGAGCGCAACGGCAATCGCTCGCAATTCACCTTCGAGTCCGGCCACTCCGCGCCTCGCTTTCCGCCCTCTGGCCCCGCCAACTTACGAGGCCCTTCTGGTTCTGCGGCGTCAAGAAGACGCGGTCGTGGTGGGGCATCACGAGGCCAGTCTCGCGCCGACGGCAGGAACAATGCAAACAGCCATCGTAGAGGTGGCTTCAAGAAGGCTGCGCCTCACGAGCGTGCTCTGCTTCAGCACCGCGAGAACGGCAGTCCTGAGCGTGCATTGGGCGTCGCAGCTGATTCCAACCGCTTTCAAAATCCCGACGACCTGTCGGATGATGATGAAGCCGACATGGATGTAGAAAGCGATGACTCCTCCAATAGCCAGCAGGACGGTGACGCGTCACAGAGTAAGCCAAAGGCTGCTCGGACCCAGGTCAAGCGTGCTGATGGCGACTCTGTCCCTAAATGGTCCAACCCGGATCCCTATACCGCACTGCCACCACCGGATGAGACCACAGGGAAAAGGGTCGACTTTGTGAAGCTGATCCGGAAGGCAAAGAACCAAGAGGCAGAGAAAGCTGCAGGGCACAATTCTGTCGTTGCCAATGATGATTTCATTTCGTTTGCTGACGACGATGATGATGCTCAAAAACCCACACAAGGCTCATTGAACGAGTTCGCACACATTGACAGCATTGTTAGTAGACAAGAAGCATCTGTAGCGGATCATCGGACACCTCGTGGTCCCAAGGCCAACAACAAGCGTAAAGCCACGGTAGGAGGTGTAGTCAGTGAGTGGTTGCCCGCTCGCAATCGCGATCCAACACCTTGGCTTCCTTCACCTGATGCGTATGCGCATCTTGCTCGCGAACCAGAGAAGTGGTAAGTGACCAATGTCCAAAGCATCAGGCGTCTGCACGGAGCTTTGCATATCCCATGGTATCCCCGAGTGTTCCACGCAACCTTGACGCTAAACTCCTACAAACATTTACTGATTTCTACTAGGCTTCACAATGAAATACTGGACTTTTACGATTTCGTTGCTCCCAAGCCATTCGAACACGAACAGCGCAACAGACTTGTCAACCGAGTCAACAATGCCCTGGGTCAACGCAGGTTTCCTCAACAAAACGGCCGTGTGCTTTGTTTCGGTTCTTTCCCTGCAGGTCTGTATTTACCTACAGCTGACATGGACTTGGTCTATGTTTCCGATCAGTACTACAACGGCGGGCCTCCTGTTGTCGATATGTCTCAAAGAGGCGCTAACAAGAGCCTTCTTTACAAAGCATCCAACAGGCTCAAAAGCATGGGAATGGACGCGGATGGGTGTCAAGTCATCCACGCCAAGGTTCCCATCATCAAGTTTCAAGACAGACTTACCCAGCTTCAGGTTGATATTTCCTTCGAAAATTTGAGCGGGGTTCAAGCTCAAGCCACATTTGCGCAGTGGAAGCAGGATTACCCTGACATGATATACATGGTAGCACTTTTAAAGCAATTCCTCGTAATGCATGGACTGAATGAAGTGCACACGGGCGGCATTGGAGGTTTTAGCATCATATGTCTGATTGTTAGCTACATTCAGCATTCTGACAAACATGAAAACCTCGGCGAATGCTTCTTGGGGTTCCTCAAGTATTATGGCGATTTCGACTTGTCTAGGAAACGCATTCAGATGCATCCACCAGCTATCATTGAAAAGGTGAGCAACAGTTGATACTGCGCTGCTGGCAGATATCAAAACCTCTCCCATCTCTTCTACGAAGCTGACATGTTCTAGACCGCCCATGGAATCGACGGTCGCCCGGAAAGGTACGACGGTCTTTCTATCCAAGATCCGAATCGTCCAGAAAACAACATTTCTGGTGGATCTCACAGGGTTCAGGATGCCTTTGATGCTTTCAAAGAGGCTTATCACACACTTGAGGACCGAATGAAAGCTGCCCGCGCAGGCCAAGATATCGGGCCTAGTATCCTCGAGTGTGTCTTGGGTGGCAACTATGAGACTTACATCAAGCAGAGAACGCATTTGAAGACCCTGAAGTGAGCTCTTACATACTGGATTTGAAGCAAACCCCTATTGGCGTTCTCCTCTGCTTCTCCTATGCTTTGCGGCCGCTTGGACGTCCTCGGGACTACGTTGACCTTGTATTTCAAGCAAGGAGCTGGGCACCATACAGTGTTCTTTGCCTTAACTGCTCTATCCTAGGACAGGACGACCACCGGACAAGAGCCATGAAAGAGGTCATCCAAGTGCACTCGAATGACATAATGCTATCATAGATGGGACGGGAGTTGTATGTATTGTTTGGGTGGACGAGCACCTCTGTTCCTCAAAGAATTGGGGTAATCCGGGCGTAAGATATTACTGTGGGTTGGGCAGGCGAGTACAAAATGCTTCGGCACGTTCTGCTCATCTGCTCCTCCAGACAGGTTAGGGACGGCATATTCTATTTCAAAAGTACTTGTTGCAACAAGAGATACCCCAGAGTTGCTTTCCCATGGGCAGCTACTCTAGGCGTTTGGCGAATTATAGACGGATAGTACTTCCACAACAGGCGGACGGACGGACAGATTCAACCCTCCATCGATGCGCAGATGACAAGACTAGCGAACCCAACCTATGTTGATCGCCTCCACGAACTTCTGCCTCGTTTCGTCACAAAAGCCGTTTTGTTGTTTTCGTCTCGGATGTAATGCCCTGTGTCTGGACCGGAACCCGCGCGGGAAATGAGGAGAAGAAAAGATTCGTATCGAACAAAATAAGGACCGGACATCGACAATGAGTACGGCTCTATATGATTTGTTGTCGGGCTCTACCTGTTGGACTTTTTTTACCGTCTCTCCGTCTGTTTGTTTGCTTCAACGTTTAATTCTCTGTACTGCTAAATGCGTGGCTCATGACAACCTAGTTTCCCAATCTCCTCTCCTCTGTTCTGCTTCACCTCTTTGCTTCTTCTAGATGGATACCGAGATACTAATGACACCAACTTCTTTCTACAGCAGAAATGTCACCAGCAATGGGACGTCTTTTCTCATTGGGATGCAGGCCATTGACGCATGCACTCGAGGACGAAAGATGGACTATTTGTGTTTCGCTGCCATGCGGATACTATTTTGTTTTCTATACAAACTAGTCTGGTTGCTGTTACTAGGTAAAGATGCTTTTCGTTCACTCTCTCCAACTTTCTCCCAATAATAAAAGAATCAACCAAGTCTAGCAAATATCGAGGTTTAGGAATGATTAACTCTTTGTCACATCAGAAAGTGGTTAACGTACTCAACTACCACATCCCTCATCTACAACTCCTTCTTGTTCTCGACGACAGTCTCGTTCTTGGCCTGCTCGATCAGGCTCTTGGCCACAGCCGCACTCTCCCTCCAACTCCTCTGACGTTGCCAAAACCTAATCTCAGCCGTAGTCTCGCTCAGACTGCTTCGTCGCGCATCTTCCTCGAGACTCTGCCTAGTAATCTCGCCACCCTTTTCACTCAATGTGGGAATGCTTTGAAGCTGGCTAAGGTTCTCTTCGAAGTACTGCTTGCGGACGAGGTAACGCTCGCGGCGTTCCTTTTGCAGCCCTGGAGTATCGAGCTTTGATAGAATGATGCGCACGCCCCAGCGGAAGAGAATGAAGAGGTGCTCGGCGAAGAAGACAGTAAGGAGGAGGGCCCAAAGTTGAATATTGCTGGGGCTACCGCTGGGACCAGTGTTGTCGTTCCAAAACATGTAGACGAGAGCTGAGGTAGTAATGCTGCCGAGCCAAGTGAGGAAGGAAAGGGAGTCAAGCCAGGGACCAATGGTATCAGCACGCCATGGCGTAGGTCGGCGCATCTCAACACAAATCTTCATGGCGTCGGCACGGAGCTCGACCCAGTTGTTGATGAGGAAAGAGACGGCAGTCAGTGGCCATACGACCGAGAAGAGAGAGAGGTAGCCAAATTGAACAACCATCTCGCGAAGATCGGCCGTGACATCGTATACTTCAAGCTCTGCTTCCTTACGAACACGCTCAAGGAAAGCAGCATCTTCAGGTGGGTCGTTGGCAGCAGCAGGTGGTGCGGATCCGCCGTTCTTGGCAGCTCGCTCGGATTGCATCTCCTTGTACTTGTCAAGTCCACGACGCTTGAGGTATGGAACGATAAGCTCCATGCCCAGATTGACCACCTGAGCAGTGACGGTGAAGTAGATGACCTGCTTGCGAAGGCGATCGGGGTTGATGCTCCAGCTAGCGCTCTTTGTTTCAAGATGAAGCTGCTTCTCGTCCTGAGCAAAAGGTCGAACAGCGACGTGGAAAACATCAAGGTAGGGCACGATAACTTTGCCAAAAGGTACATAGACGAATGCAGTCAAGAAGATGCCGAGGTAGGACATGATGAAGTTCATAACAAAGATCTTCTGGGTCAAGGCTTTCTCGTACGCGGCATGTGTCTCATAATTCTCGAATTGAGTTAATCGTGTAGCCGCTTTGGTCAGAAGGGTGTTGAGAATAGGGTTGACAGTAGTCAGGATACCAGTAGGGATGAAGATCTGGGGAGATTTAGTATGGGTAGAAGCGGTACTTCTGTTGTAGTACTTACCAGAACGCTCTTGAGCGGTCCGTCATAGACCTCGGAGATGAAGACCTCAATGCCGAAGCAGGTTGCAATAACGGCTCCGAGGGAGCAGGCTGCAATGATTGCAAAAGGAATTTGCAACAACTGTCTCTGGAAGCGCTTGGATGCAGGAAAGAAACCAACTTGCTCACCGGTGACGGGATCGGTGATGGTCTTCTCGGGCGTGAAGTCCTTCTGCTTGACCTCGATGTTGGAGACGCCCTTGACACCCCAGCGGACACTCAGGTCTTTTTCCTGATGCTTCCAGTATTCGGTGAAGACGGTGCACCACAAGGCGCTGGCGAGAGCATAGATTGGCGAGAAATAGCCAAGGAAGAGCCATGAGAAGAGGCCGAATGCCGCAGCTGGAATGAGAAAGGTAAAGTAGGATTGGGTGAAAGCAAAGTAAAAGGCAATCTGGCCGCGTTAGCACTAGACTGCCCCAAGCCGAGAGATGGCAGCTTACTTTTTCTCCCATGCGGTTGCGGATGTCGTCCAAGTCTTCGGTGCTGAGGATGTACTGAGATGTCCATTTCTTGATCCAATCCTTGTTGTACGCATGGTCATGCAGGGCGAAGATGGAGTCGACGTTCTTCCATTCGCCTTCCTTGGGTGTTATGCCCGCTCCACCCTCCGACGTGGGGTTTGTAATGAGCTGGTATATGATGCGCAGCCGCTCAGCCTCGTACAATGGCTCTGCTTCAAGCGATTCGCGCGTAACATTTTCAGGGGCAGCAGACCGGGCGCCGTGGATCCAGTCGCGGACTCTTGAGTAGGAGTCAGCCATCCATCTGCAGAGGCAACACAGGGGCTATGCGTACCTGGACCTATATACTTCGCCAAACAGGTGCTCGTCAGAAGCAACCCTGACGAAGAGCAGAAGCGAGTGCGAGTCGCCATTGCGGACTTCGGTCTGTAAACCAACGTTTGCCAGCGCCTCACACAGCTTCTCAAACTGTGCAGCTGCCTTGGTCTTGTCTGTATGCCCGTCAGCCCATTGCTTCACTCACCCCGCCATGGGAGCAAGCATACCCGTGTCGGCAAAGCGGTAGGTAATGACATAGTCGACGTCGAGATTGGTCTGGAGGGCGGTTGATTTGGCCATGTCCGACGGCGAGGCCGAGGCGAGCAGGGCGATTTTCAATTGATAGACGGACCAGGAGAGGGTGGTGAAGTAAGGAATGGCACGAGCAGCAGCTGCGGTGCTTGTCCCCTCCTTCTGGCTCGACATGCCCAGCAATGTTGTAATCAAGGTTGCACGCCGGCCTACTGCCGGCCACCAAACGTCATCGTCGCCAACATCCCTGCTCCGTGCTACCCCTGTAGCCCCTGCACCCCACGACAACTACCAGACTATCGACATTTGTATGTATAGTACTAAGTAGACTAGGCTTCAGCTTCTCGTATCACTTGAGCAGGCTTCTATGTCTTGTGCAAACAAAAGGACAGCTTCGAGCCGGAAAAAAGCAATTCTACCACCCCCCAAAACGAACCATGGTTGCTCTGTGCGCCTCCAAATCCGTGAGATATGCTTGTTGAGCCCTGTCATCACCACACGTGACTATTCCGAAACCAAGTAGCTAGGAATATTGACTCGGAACCATTGTTAGAATACATCAAGTTACAAGCGTTGCACAGTAGAGCACCCGATTCGATTCGAAAGACGATGACATTCGACGCGTGCCGATCCATCGGGCAATACACACCACCACGCCTATGTAGAACATTACCCCAATCATCTTCTTCACCTCCACACGACTTCATACAACCACGTCTCCACCAAATCCAATCGGTCTTCGGACCGGACCCTGCTTTTTGTACGGCACAATGGCCATGGCCTTGTACGTTTTACCCATACCATTCGGGCCTCTGTCCACAAGCCGTTTCCACCCCATCTCTAGCCGTTTCTTCGTTTCCTCATCCTTTGCTGCCTTGAGCAAGCGATCAGCTCGTTCTTTGATCCCCATGGTTGACAAGAAGAAGGATTGCTCAACAGGGCCATGGACCTCCACGCCAGGAGAGGCTTCCAAAGCAGAATCTGCTAGACCAATAAAGTCTACATCCGCCGAAAGATCCACAAGGCCTGGTGCTGCAAAAGGTGAGACGGTCGTGTGCGATCGAATGCCACGAAGTGTGTTTGCAGGAATCGTATCTAGTGGGCCGTAGTCAAGAATGAGAGCGGCTCCGGAAGGCTGCGATTTTGTGAATGATTCCTCGTCTTTGGGCAGTACATCAGACTCTTTGGCTGGCGCTGAAGCAGTGCCGGCCTTGGAATTACTACCGCCAATTCTCACAGCAAAGTCGGAGATGTATGCAAGCGATTCCGGTGAAATCTCAATGACTGCGCCTGGGGTATCTTCCAGCTTCTTGTAACGATTGGACAGCTTAGGCAAGTACAGTGAATGTGGTGTTGGCGTTTTTGACACAGTCAGCTCAAAATCTAGCTTTTCTGCATCTTTCTTCGATGTCGGAGAGCCTGATGTGTTCGCTTCTGTGTAAGGAGAGGTCGGCGATACAACAAGCTCATGCCAGTTATTCTTGGGGGCTGTTACGCCGTGCTTTGGTTTTATGGGGCCGGTTGGTGTCATGATTGTTGACGAAGCCGGTATAGAAGACTGTGCTACATTTTGAAAAACATGTATAGGGAGTGCATCGAAGAACTCATGGGCGAGTATGAAGGGGGTCGCTGTGGCCTCTATGTCGCTTGTCAGCAATGTACTAGAAAAACCGGACAAGGCCCAGCCGGAACCTACCCTTCGGCACAAGTCGGATATCCTCACACCACTCAATCTTGCAGCCTGGAATATACTTGCAAGTTGCAGTCAGGCCAATATCGCTCTTTGTCAGATCTTCAGTCCCAGAAAGCAATTTTGCCTGCTGTTTCTGCAAATAGGGCGACGCTTCGATGAGATAGATGGCTTCAATGCTCTTTGTGAACGCCTTGAAGCTCGAAAGTGTCTAAGAAATTTCAGCCTCTATGCTTTTATTTCTCTTGTCGGTATTTTACCATACCCTGAGAACATCATCCATCAACGTTCCTCGTCCAGGGCCAACCTCCATAATTTGGACCTTGTCCTTCCTACCCTGTGCTAGCCATTCGGCGTAGATCCATATACCAATCAACTCGCCAAATATTTGACTGATTTCGGGTGAGGTTACAAAGTCGCCCTTGGTTCCAAATTGATCCTGTCCGCTCGTCGTCTGCCTAGTGTAGTAGCCACCTTCGGGATGCGTGAGGCACTGGCGCATATATGCCGCTACAGAAATCGGTCCAGTCGTCTGGGTTTACTGTCAGGCCTTTTGTTCCTTGTCGTCGAGTTGAATTCTTACGGTAATGGCTTCAGCCAGCGTCTTTGCAAGAGGCGTCGACCATTGCCGTTCCGAACTTGCAGCAGTCGAAGTCGACGACCACCGGGAAGCGCATTTTGTTGCATGACATCCAATTGGCCGAGGTACTGAGAGGCGAGCATACGCTGCCGTTCGCAGTAAATTTAGGGACTGAATCCTCATGTTGGCATGCTCATCGCAGCTACATGACGTCTACGCGTTCGGAACGACAAAAGTTCAGATCGGAACGCCGAGGTGAACGAAGCTATGACCATCATCCTCAGCCTCCGCCTGTTGCTGTGTGCGACGCTCCAACCCGGACATCAGTCATATTTCGATATATATCGAAGTTGATTTGGTATGCGGTTCGTGTCATAAATCTCCGAAGACAAAGCCTGCACGTGGGAAAGAGAAGGAACAATGGCGTCCCGCTGGGCAAACGACGAAGCAGACAAGGCCGAAGAGCTACGCCGAAAGAAAGAAAAGGAAGAGAAGAAGCGCCTAAAATTGCAGAAACAACAGCAAGAAGCAGAGGCGGCAGCGCGCGTAGCGCAAGAAGCAGCAGATTCGCGTCCCGCGAAGCGTAGAAGACTGTCAACAGGCGATGATGATGAACAAGTACCCAAAGAAAATGAGACTCAAGAAGAGCGAACACTACTGCGCTTCGAGGGTGGAGGCTGGACCTCATGCCGACACACATCCAACTTTGAGACTCTGAACCAGATTGAAGAAGGCTCGTATGGCTGGGTTTCACGAGCGCGTGATATAACCTCCAACACCGTGGTGGCTTTGAAGAAAGTGAAGATGGACTACAACCAAGACGGGTTCCCCATTACAGCCCTACGCGAAATCTCGATTCTCCAACGTTGTCGACACAATAACATTGTCAATCTCCACGAGATACTCTCAGGCGACGATCCCCAAGAATGCGTCTTGGTCATGGAGTTCCTCGAACACGACCTCAAGACGCTGCAGGAAGACATGAGCGAGCCATTCATGGCATCCGAAGTCAAGACGCTGTTGCGTCAACTGGTTTCCGGAGTCGGATATCTACACGAAAACTTCATCATGCACCGGGATCTCAAGACATCAAACATTCTGCTCAACAACAGAGGACAGCTCAAGATTGCAGACTTTGGCATGGCACGGCATGTCCCGCCTTCTAACGCGCCTCTCACACAACTCGTGGTCACGCTCTGGTACCGGGCGCCCGAACTGCTTCTTGGCACCCGGGACTACGGGACTGAAGTCGACATGTGGAGCATTGGCTGTATATTCGGGGAGCTGTTGGCCAAAGAGCCCTTGCTGCAAGGCAAGAATGAAGTCGACGAGCTCTCGCTCATTTTCTCGCTGTGCGGATTACCCTCTGAGAAGACGTGGCCGCAATTCTACCGGCTGCCCAATGCAAAGAGCCTCAAGATGCCCCGAGACCACCGCAATGCACCTGGCTTTAATCGTGCAAAGTTCCCCTTTCTCACGGCCTCGGGCGTAGATCTGCTTTCTTCATTGCTCACGCTCAATCCGGAATACAGGCCAACGGCGAAGGAGATCCTGGCCCACCCGTATTTCAAAGAGCAGCCAAAGCCTAAGCCCACAGAGATGTTCCCTACGTTTCCCAGTAAGGCCGGGCAGGAGAGAAGGCGAAAGAAGAGCCCGAATGCGCCAAAGAGGGGTGAGGCGCCTGGCATGCAGGGTAGTCTGGATTTTAGTAGCATTTTCAGGGCGAGGGAAGACGAAGAAAAAGGGGCCGGGTTTCAACTGAAGATGACTTGATTACTCGGTAGTATTGATGTACAACTTGATAGATGGTGGCTTCATGGCCGCAGCGAAGTCACTGATATATCCATGCACGTTCCGATCGAAGAAAGCCTAACTGGCAGTACGCTCTGAATGCTGCCTGTGAGGGCTCCGTCCATGTAAACCGTAACTTCTTCCAACACATTGCAGCCCGGAAAATAGCGTAATCATCGGCGGTCTCTGCTCCGACTGCGGTCACTACCGTAGGAGCTGTAACTAGGGCTTCTCCGTCCTCTGGCTCCGCCAGTGCTGCCGCTAGGGCCACCTCTTCGTGGCGGGCTATCTCTCCTGCCGTAGCCTCGGTTTGGCGGAGTTCTCGATGGAGACCGGCTGTAAGAAGAGCGTGACATACTCCTCCGTGGCGAGCGACTTCGGGACCGCGTATACGATCGTGGGCGTCCTCCCCATCCTCCCCTTCCCCCTCGGCCACCTCTGCCCCGTCCCCACTGTCCACGATCAGGTGACATACGGCGCGGTGGAGAGCGGTAGCGTGGAGGACCATCCATAGGCGGTGGTCTGTATGCTCCGGGTGGGCCTCCTCCTCGTGGTCCTCGTCCGCCGCGTCCATATCCGCTGTCGAAGTCGTCTTGGAATCTGTCGCCTGGCGGTGGGCCTCTCCGGGCTGGGGGAGGTGTTTGGGAGAAGCGACGTCGAGGGAGCACGATGGAGACTTGGATTCTGGAACCGTCCAACTGTGCGTCATGCATCTTTGCGATTGCACGCTCGGCTTCGTCAATCTCCTCGTAGAGTACGTATGCGATACCGCGATTGATGTTGACTGCTTGGCCATGAGTAAAATGACTGCGAAAGTGCGAGATGGGGCATACATGTGGGATTCATGGGCATCCTGACATCTTTGATGACGCCGTACTTTCCAAATATCTCACGTATGTGATCCTCTTTGACATTTCTGGTCAAGGCTTCTACCACAATCTGTCAGAGTATTAGCGGGCGGACTGATGAGCTGGGAAGACTGGAGAGAAGCAAGTGTGTGTCCTTGATATCAAGTCACTCGATGTACTCACCTTTGAACTCCGGGGCGCTGGCGACGCATCCCTGGGGGTAGGACTGCGAGTGTAACTCCTCCCTCTTGAGCGCGATCTGGTGTTTGGTGTGTAGCTGCGCCGGCCATTGCGCCGGGGAGACAGTGATGTGGGCGAGCGGGATCGGGTACGCGACCGAGACCGTGGGGACAGTGAGCGCCGTGGCGATGGCGAGCGTGGTGAACGAGAGCGGCTCGGTGATCGTGTATGCGACCTGTCGCGAGATGGGCTGCGCGTGCGCAATGGGGATGGCGAGCGTGCTGGAGACGGAGAAGGAGACGGCATGGTATGGCTTTTCTAGGCAGTACGGTCGCAAGAGATGTGCAAGCAGTGATGTGCAAGCTCACATGTGTTTAGACATTTGAATGGTACGATTTATCAATCGAACATCTGTTCACGCGTAATCTTTTGGCAGTGAGCTCAGAGCTACGGACTGGGGCTTAGCGTGGGCACGTGACTGGGGGACGGGACACGGACACGGGCAAGCGGCCAGGGTAACAGGCGCACGTCATAATGGTGCGAGGCCATCGAGACTGGCAAAGGCAGAGTCAATGCCTGAGGCCGAGGCCGGAAGGAGAGGCCAAGAGGAGAGAGAGATGGAGAGAGAGGCCAGGCCAGAATTCAACAGGACCACGTCAAATGCACTGCTGCTGCAACAATAGCCGCTCTCGTCTGCTGCGCAGCATTGCGTGGCACCCAGTGGACCATGTCAAGTGTCGAGTGCCGAGTCATACAAAGCAATTGTGCTTCATCTGTGCAAGCAACTCGCCCAAAGACGGAATTATTCTTCTTCTGCTGGCCGGCGCCTACACTAGAGCCACCGTTTAGTGATATGCAGTGCATGGGTCCGCTTGTCCGATGCCAGCATTTCGACCCGCTCGTTGGCCTTTGACCCCAGAGAGACCAAGTGAACAGACACTAGGCGGGTATCGCGGTGGGCATTTTGTTGTCGCCGCTGGTGTGTTGGGCCCAGAGCAGCGTCTGTGGCTGTCGACTTGACAAGCAGCTGGCTGCACGATGGCGCAAGAACAAGGACAGGACCAAGTACGAGAGGATCAAGACAAGGCGGGCCGGTGGGGTGGGAGTGATAGGCAAAGGCGGTTCTGATTGCATTGTGTTGGTTTCGTCGTCTCGCGCTCGTCCCATTTCAATGACTTGACTTGACGCAGACAGACAGGACAGGACAGGACAGGCAGAGAGGGCGGGGTCGAAACAGCCCCACTATCAAACCGCGACTTAGCCCAACAACGCAGCACCAAACCTTCTCACCGCATCTGCCCTCTCGTCCCGCTTAGTCAAAAGTACCTGCATCTACCGTGTGCTCTGCCTCGTCTTCTGTCAATCTTCTCATCACTCTAGCTCCCGCAGCACGCACATTACCCCTCACCCAATATGTCCTGGCAAGGTGAGCAACCACGCTGCCCCTCCCCTCATTCCAGACGGCAAAGACTGACCCAAGCCAGCATACGTTGACACCAGGTGCGTCTCACCTCGACCTCCCTCCCTCATCCTGCACGTCTAACCACCTTCTCCAGCCTCGTCGGCACCGGCAACATCGACAAGGCCCTCATCTGCGATGTCGAAGGCGCAACCAACTGGGCCGCCTCCCCAGACTTCACGGTACGTCGTCCGCTGGCCTGTACGGGGCACAGCTACTCGACCTGCAACAGGGCTTGAAGTGGCAGTGCTGTTACGTGGTCCATCACAATACACTCGGACGCTGACAGGTTACAGCTGTCTGATGAGGAAAGGGCAGCCATTGCCAAATCCTTCAATGACAAGTCGGACCCCAAGAAGGTCATCTCGGAGGGTATCAAGGTCAATGGCGTCAAGTACATGACCATCGAGGCAAGCGACGATGCGCTCAAGGCAAAGAAGGTACCCTTTCCGCCCCCGCCACCCACGCCCACGCCCATTAGGTACTGACTGCAATACTAGGGCAAAGAGGGCGTCGTTGCCTTCAAGACCGGCCAGGCCGTCATCATCGCCCATCACCCCGAATCCATCCAGACTACCAACGCTTTCTCCTCCGTCGCCGAGCTTGGAGACTACCTGAAGAAGCACGGAATGTAAAATGTCTCTGCCCCGGGACTGTTTGTATGTTAGAGATATTTGCATAGCCCCCACTCGACATGTGGCGGACAAGACGGTAGGGAGGAAGGGCGAAGGATATAGATATGAATCATGACGCACAACATAGCGACATAGGAGATTTCTCTTCAATGCAATGATATGCCCTCATACCACGCGTTTTTCTTAATAATAACATCAAACCTTGCCTATAATGGTCTAACCTACTATCGTAGTGGGAAATACCTTGCTTCTTATAAAATTACCCTCTAGATAGATTTATAACGAAAAGCACAAACTGCATTATTAAGTCAAGTAGATTAACATGTAACTAGATAAAACTAAGAGCTCTAAAAAACCTATAAAACTATGTTATATTAGAGTTAACGTAGTTCATAAGCGGGTGGCCACCCCAAGCGAGTGGCCACCTCCCCACCAGCGCGTCGACGTTGATACTACAACGCGTATGTCTCAACCACGCGACTCTCGATTAACTTATAACGAATCATATCTTCAACTTGCTCTTTTTGATATCCAATCGCAACGTGTTCAAAGTGTAAAACGTGCTGCAGAGATATATAACGTCCCCCGAACAACAATTCGA